GAGAGCAGCTCCAGTGCCTGAAGGGGCTGCAGGAAAGCTGGAGAGGGGCTTGGGACAAGGGATGTAGGGACAGGAAAAGGGAGAATGGTTTTAACCTGCCAGAGGGGAGACTGAGCTGAGCTCTGAGGCAGAAGCTCTTCCCTGTGAGGGTGCTGAGGCGCTGGCACAGGGTGCCCAGAGAAGCTGTGGCTGCCCCATCCCTGGCAGTGTTCAAGGCCAGGTTGGACACAGGGGCTTGAAGCAAGCTGCTCTAGGGGAAGGGGTCCCTGCCTGTGGCAGGGGTTGGAGCTGGAGGAGCTTGAAGGTCCCTTCAACCCAAACCAAGCTGGGATTCTATGAAAATCAAACAGCCCATGGGACTGGCAGCATACATGGCTTCACCTTGCTTCATTCAGAGTTAAACTTGCCCTTGCCCAAGGGGCTCAGGGCACTTTCTCCTTAAAGCCTGGCTTGGCTTTCCCTGTGGCAAGCTGTGTGTTTTGAGTCATCAGCATGCCAAGGAGCATCAGAGCAGGCCAGGCTTGTGCTGGAATGCCCCGTCTCCATCGGGTTTGGCTTGGGATTGCTCCTGTGCATGTCCTGGGATGGGGAGAAGGTGCTGTAATGCAGACCGTGTGGCAGCAGCACCATGGCATTACCTTGGCACAGGAATCCAGAGCTCCCTGTGTGAGCAAAACCCTTCTCTGAGCCTCTTGGGGGTCCTTCTCCTGTGTTCAGGTCCTGCTTGACGCAACTTGGAGCGAGGGGAGGCTTTGGGACATCACTGGTTGTTGTCCCCTCCACCTCTCCCACTCCTCAGTGCTGGCTGGCCATTGCCACAGCAGCTTCTTGTCCCTGTGCCCTGCTCTGGCCCTGCCTTGGGCAGACACCACGCAGTGTGCTTGGCTGCACCATCTGCCTCCTCACGCCTGGGTGCGTTTTTGGCCTCCTCAGTGGTTAACAGAAATAGGTTTTAATTAAAAGCTCATTATGGAGATGTCGTGTAGCATTAGTAAATAAAAATAACTTTTACAGCCCTGTCTTGTGGCAGGGAAGGTGTTTGACATCACTTTGTGTTGGAAAAAACCCAGAATAGTGCATATTTGATTCCCTGTTTTGCTCCAAATGGGCTTTAAATCCAGATAAATGGTTGTCTGTGGCACTCCTGTTATCATTCATGTCCAGCAGGTGAAATAAATGTGGTCTGCAGTCTAAGTTCCCTCCATTTCAGCTGTAAACCGTTGTTGGTGGGTGGTTTGGTCATCTCCTGCTGGGATGAGGAGTAGATACAGCCTCTCCATGCCTTGTTTCCCAGGGGTTAGTGGAGTTCAGCACCCTGCTTCTCCCTTCTGCCATCTTCCAGTGAAAAGGTCTCCCATCCTCTCATTGCTTCTGAAAGGCAAGGACATCACACATGGAGCCTGAACGCATCTGCCCGGGGCTTGGTGCCCTTTTCTGCCTGGTCTTTGATGCTGTCACATCACCACAGCAGGGGCCTGGCTCCCTCCTCACCTCCCAGCACACAGCTAACACTGGGCAAAGTGATCCCCTGAGGTGAAAAGCCATTTTCTGCCTTCCTGAAGGGTAAATTGGTGCAATAAAATGTTCTATAGGTGTTACCCTTTCATCAAGGTCACACATCAGCCCAGTGCTGTGCCTCCTGCGGGGTGCCTGCATTGAGGAGGGGTATGGGGGGACTGGTGTGAAGGGTTTTCTCTGGGCTGAGCTGCTGAGTGCTGCCTTAACGTCCTCCAGTCACTTGTAGGTGCCCTTCTTCCCCAGCCTGACCCTGCCTGAAGCTCCAGTGGTGTGTGGTTGTGACAGCAAGGAGGTGAGATCTCTGCTGCCCCAGAGAGAGCCAGGTTCTGCCCACTGCAGTTTGGCCACCTTCCTGTTGTCTGAGGAGAGCTTCTCACGTGAGGAACCACAATCTTAACTGCTAAAAAAAGCCCTTTTAACCCCCACTTTCCACCTGGATGGAAGCCAAGCATCAGCCTCTGCCACTGGGTTTGGGAGTCGCTTCCCTCCCTGCTCAGCTCTTTCCATGCAGGATGCTTGCACCCTCTGGCACCCAGTTCTTGCGCTGCTTGGCCTCCCTCCTCGTCACCCACACGGAGGGGATCCCCTAACCCCTGTGCTTGTTCCCTGGTTGCTTTATTGACTCGCTGGCTCGGGAGCACTTGTGAAACCTGACAGAAAGGTTGTGCACTGAAATAAATTGTCCCGTTGCCTGCTGCTTGGAAATGACTCTTGGTGCGGCTTAATAAATAATGCAAACCCTGTTAAGAGATGCCAAATGCGATGTCTCCCCTGGAGAAAATGATGATGCCAATAACCCGGGCTGGAATGGCTCCGTTCGAGCCGCTGGCTGCTGAGTTTTCAGTGTTTAGTGCTGTTTACTTAAACCGCTCTGCTGATAAATCCCGAGCGCTCCCTTCTTAGTAGAGCACATAAATTCCTGCTCTGCAGAGTAACAGCCTTGCAGTGCTCCCTCTGTTTGTAAAGCAGCTCTCCACGTATTCCTCCAGCATCTCAGCGGGTAGATCTGACACCCTGTGCTGTGGCTGTGCTCATGGGAGAGCCCAGAGCTACGATGGAGGGTGCTGAAGTGATGCCTCCCGCTCCGGGTTCAGGTGGTTATGGTTTCAGTGGCAGTCTGAGCTCTGTGGCAGCCACTGTGGCACACAGCTGAGAGGGTTCTCTGCTCTGAACCTCTGCGCTTTGTTGTCAGGAGCTGGTAGTGCCTTGCAAAACCATCTTTGTGCTTCAGGTGTCACTTCAGAGCAGGGAATGCTGTTACGGGCTGAGGACAGGATGAGGAGCTGCTCCCCCGTCCTGGCTGTCCCCCAGCCCCTTGCCAGCAGCTCTCTTCATCCCCTCCTGCCTCGGGGTGCCGGTTCTGGCTTTTCCAAGCAGGAAATGTGGCAGTTAATGACACGAAGCCCATCAAGTGAGGGTGAGGAGGGCCGAGCTGCTGCCTGCCCTGCCCGCGGAGCAGTTGGAGTTGAGCTGTCAAAGCCTGCCGCTTGAATGCAGATCGTTATTTTAAGTACCGAGGTGTGGAATGAAATGTATGTTGGAGCAAATGTGGCTGCTGTTCCATTTATATCTTTAATGAAGGTAATTCAGCACACTCGGGGAGGATGTCTGTGCCACGTTATGGTCGGGAGACTTCAGCACGGTGCAGGCAGGAATGTTAAATACGTTATTCCTGCCACACGCACGTGTGAGGTGATAGAGCAGCGGTGTAAAACCCAGCTGCAGGAGCAACGCCTTCGGCTGCTCCCACCACCAAACTAAAACTGGAAGGGGAACACACAAAGCTCTTGCTTTAATGCTCTGAAACTGCTTGCGTTTGGGGAGGGAAGCTTTGGGTTGTGCCTGTTGCTGCAGTGGGGTGAATAGGAATGAGGTTTGGGTACCTGTGTGGAGCTCTGCGGCCGGTGGGGATCCCACATGGAGGATGTATGTGTTCACAACACGGATCCCATAGGATGCAGAGCAGTGTCCAGGGAGGAGATACACGCAGGAGCCTGTCCTGGGACAGGTTTGGTGCAGGGCTGTGTGTGTGTGCAGGCACCGATGGCTCCCCTCAAGCTGAAATGTCTTTGCAGAAGGAGAAGATAAAAAGCTGGGGAGGGTTTATGCAGAGCAGTTTAATTCTAGTCGAGAAGCAGCCCTTTGATGGCAGCTCAGTTTGATGTGCCCGCAGAAACAAAAGAGCTCTTTAAATGTGTCTTGTTCTGTTTTGTCTCAGCTCCCAAATTAACCTCCCTCTTCACATAATAGCCAGGGAAAGATGTTCTGCATCTGAGCCCTCCTGTGCCGAGCTGGTGGCCAGCAGAGGCCAGGAAAATGTGTGGAATTAGGGGCTCATAATCACAGAACCACAAAACTTGCTCCTGCTGCTTTTGACCTCGAGGTGTTGCCAGTGCTTGATGTGAATGGCAGAGAGGCTGTGGCAAGCCTCTGGGGTGGTGGGTTTGTGCTGTTCCAGGTGCATTGTGTGCCCTGGGAAGGGGGACAATAAAGCCATCCTCATTGAATCCAAGCAGCAGCATGTAACAGGCTGGTCCTGGGTGGCTGTACCCATGAGGTGGCAGTGGGGGACAGCAGGAGCCAGCCCTGCACTGCCTCAGCATTAATATTGATGCTGTCCAGGTGGCACCAAGATTGAGGTGCAGGGACAAGAGGATGTGCCCAGATCCTTTTGCCCTGGGGCTTTAGAGTGATGGCCATATGGCTCGGCCCAGCAATTGTTTCCACTGTGCAGATGGAAGACCAAAGTGGTTTTGGCACATTCGATTCATCTGGTTTATGTCCCTCTTCACCTTCCTGCCTCCCAACACCTCCTGCAAACTTCAGCAGCAGCAGAGATGCAGGCACAGGACTGCTCGGAGGACATGGTCCTTGGGCAGGAGCAGTTTGCTCTGCTCCTGAGCTGCTCTTGTCACCTCCGTTTCCAGCAGCAAATGCAGTTTGACTCTATCGAAACATGCTCTGAGAGAACCTCTGCTGACACTGGAGATCGTGAGCGTTTCCTGGGGCTATGGGTACAGGTGTTGAAGCCAAAGTGGGTTTTGTTTCTTGCTGGAAACAGTGTGGGGCTCAAAAGGAACTGAAAGGACCCCTCAGGTCCCTCTGTTGAGTGCTGGTGGGTTGCCAGAGGAAACAGAGGCTTTGCAGGGGTGTTTCTGGGAGGGGGAAATCACATCTCAGTTTCCTGCTGAGCTGGTGATCTGCAGGTGGGATCACATGGAGGGATGTCAAGGCCAGGTTGGAGCAAGCTGCTCTAGTGGAAGGTGTCCCTGCCCGTGGCAGGGGTTGGCACTGCATGAGCTTTAAGGTCCCTTCAACCCAAACCAGGCTTCTTTACTTCATTAGGATGCTTTCTTATCTGTACTAGATGCCTTCTCCACACTCAGAGACCTTGTGAGGGGAAAGAAGAGTGGATTTGGGTGATGGAAGTGATGTTCTAAAATCCATCTTTCTAACTCTGCTTCCTGTTTGCTTTCCTGCAGGTGAAGTGGAAAGGGAAGGACCTGTTTGATCTGGTGTGCAGGACACTCGGGCTCCGGGAAACCTGGTTCTTTGGGCTTCAGTACACTATCAAGGATACGGTGGCTTGGCTTAAAATGGACAAGAAGGTTGGAACCAAATTTCCCTTGGGAAGTTGTGTGGGATGACACGGGAGGATGTACCTTCCTCTTTGAGTGCCTGAGGTTGTGTTCTCTTTGGTATTGAAGTGAACTGGGTGAAGTGTATTGAAATCTCATCCCTGTGTCAGTCAGACTGGGAAGAGCTGCCAGGGATACCCCAGCCCACCTCCTTTGGAGCTGTGAAGCCTCAGACCATTCACACAGAATCCCCTTGAGGCATTTTGGGATACATCCCTGCTGGGATGCTGGACCTGAGGGTGCCTGTAACATGCATGAAGCCTGAAAGTCTCTTCTGTGCCCCTGAATAACAAAGCCATTAGGGGAAAAGTGAAGCTGCCTCTTGGCTTCTGCTGCTGAGATGTTCACAGAGTTAGGGAGGAGGGAAAAGGAGGTAGAGATAGGGGAGAAAATGCTTCCCACATACACGAGCCTCCTGGTTGCTGTGGGGTGGGTTAGGAGGCAATAGCGGTGAGTCTGTTTGCATCCAGAGGATGTGATGCTAAAAGCATCAGTAATTGAGGCCATGAGGGAGGTCTGGGTGTCTTGTGAGTCATGGCAAGGCTTTGAACTGACATGAATCCAAACCAGACAGTGCCAATGCAAGAGAAAAGTCGTGAGGAGCAGCACTGCAATAAATACAAGAGGAGGCAGTGCAGGGAAGCAAGGAGGAGGTCGGGTGGTGGCGTGGCAGGATACGGTGCTGCTGGATAGAGCCCACGTGTGCAGAGCAGTGGGGATCAGCCTTGGCTGTCTCATTTCACATGCTCTTTCTTTGTGCTGCTGTTGTTTCCTTGCATCCTTAGAAGTGTCAGAAACGTTGGGGTTCTTTTTTTAGCTGTGGTTTCTGAACTATTTAGGTTGGTTTCTCTGTTCTAGATGTAAAGTGTTTGACAAAAGTTGTGCTGATCTCAACAGAAGGGAGCTGTGTCTGGGCTCCAAGAGGCAGTGCTGAGGAAGCTGGGAAGAGTAACTGAATGGCTGTTGTATCCCACAGGTTCTGGATCACGATGTTCCAACAGAGGAGCCCGTCACCTTTCACTTCCTGGCCAAATTTTATCCTGAGAATGCAGAGGAGGAGCTGGTCCAGGAAATCACACAACACTTGTTCTTCCTGCAGGTAGGAGCCCTCTCAGGACACTGTTGTCTAACCCAAGGGTGAAGGAGCCAGGGTAAGCAGAAGTGCAAGAAGGTTTGGCACAGGGTGCCCAGAGAAGCTGTGGCTGCCCCGTCCCTGGCAGTGTTCAAGGCCAGGTTGGACACAGGGGCTTGGAGCAAGCTGCTCTATTGGAAGGTGTCCCTGCCCGTGGCAGGGGTTGGGACTGGAGGAGCTTTAAGGTCCCTTCAACCTGAACCACTCTGTGATTCCATGATTTTAAGGTTCCAGGTTCAGAAGCTTGCTCAGCAGAGTGTTCATCCTTATCATTGTGTTCCCATCTCTCCAAGGGGAGTGTCTTCAACAACAGAACCTTCTTAAAACAGGCCAAAGATGGTTTGTCTGCCTGAAGCAGACTTGCACACCTCCTAAAGCGGCTCTCAGGAATGAGCAGGTGATTGGTAATGGTAGTGTGTGGTAGCTGGGGGAAATGGACACACACAGCCTTGGAGTCCACCTCTCCCCAGGGGGTGGTGATCGGCTCTGCTGAGGGGTGGTGATTGCCTTTGTATGAGAGCATCCTTCTGTGAAGCAGGGGGATTTCATCCTCCAGAACAGAACGCAGGCAGCCTGTGTCCTGCTCAGGCTGTACAGCAAGGTTCACCTTGCTGCAGAACAGCCTTCAAAGAGCTGGAGCAGGAGGAAATCCCAGAAGCTCTGTTGGAGACTGATGGCAAAGGCAGAGGAGAAGAGGAAACCAACAGGTCCCACCTGCCCCTGTAACTCCTGCCCTTATGTTAAGCATTTGGGAAGTGGTGAACCCATCTTCAGGCTTTTGTCTTTATTCAGAGCACACTATAGACCTTTGTGGTGAGAAACCAGCTCAGGTGATGCTGTTGCAGCAGTGCTGCGTGGCTGGTAACAAAGAGCTGCTCTCACAGGAGCTCTCTTTCAGACAAGATTGATGTCAGAAGCTGTGTCATGAAATCCCAGCCTGCTGGCTTTGGGTTGGGAGGGACCTGAAAGCTCCTCCAGCTCCAACCCCTGCCACGGGCAGGGACCCCTTCCACTAGAGCAGCTTGCTCCAAGCCCCTGTGTCCAACCTGGCCTTGAACACTGCCAGGGATGGGGCAGCCACAGCTTCTCTGGGCACCCTGGGCCAGCGCCTCAGCTGGATTTGGATGCTCAGGAAATACCCCTGTATTCAGTGTGCCCTGGCTGCCTGTCACAGTGAGCTCAGCAGCTCGTGCTGCTCCTCGCTCTTCCAAAGTTCATCTTTGTTCTGAAGAGCTGAAGGCCTTCCAAATGCAGAGCGTTGCTGTTGATTCCCAGGGTGTCTTTCATGCACTGGTGTCTCTCTGGCGCCGTTTTAAAGCGTCTGCTTTGCCACGGGCTTTATCCTTGATGAGGAAAAACGTTGCTGGCATCTTTGAAAGGGAAAATCAGAGGAAAAGCAGTTAAAGCTGTGTGTTACAAATGCAGACTGTGGCTTTGCTACTTGGCTTTCCGATGGGGCTCCTGTAACACGTGTGGGAAATGGAAGCACACATCAGCTTGCATACTCTCCTGGTTTTATCTTACTGCAGGAGAATATCCTCTGTGCTTGTGTCGTAACCAGAGCTGAGGACTCAGCATGTTACAAATTCAGATTGATGTTGCTGCATCTCTGTGACGATCCGTTTAAGTCTCTCAGGAAATGGAATGTTGGGTTTTTTTCCTGCCTTTATTCAGGAAAATAAAGTGTGCAAACCCCAAAACTATCAAACATGACAAGTTGAATTATTTAATACGCAGAAGCCAGGAAAGGTAAAGCTGTGGCTGCTGGAAGCTGCACGTGTGCTCCTCTGGGAGGCTCTGCAGGGCTTTGCCTGCTCTAAAAGCACTGCCTCTGGGATTGGGGGGAATTAGCCTCCAGCACAGGTGAGCACTGACTCATAATGAGGCCTGAATATCCCAGAGCAAAACCTTTGTGTGCTCAGAGGCTCACTGCAAACTTCTGTTTGGTTTAGTGCTGTGGATAATGTCCCATCAGTCCATAGCTTCTGCCTTAGAAGGTTTTAGCTCTGTGTTTACACACCAGACCTTCTCCCCGCCTCTTGCCTTTAGCAGGGGGCTCCAGGTTCTGTCATTTTCCACAGATAAATTAAGCTCTTCTCACAAACCTCTCTGAAAAAGGGGGCCTTTGAAAGGCTGAGCCTTCCCTTCCCAGCCACTGGATACTTCCTGGCCTGAGCTGTGGCGGGTGTTAGGAACAGTGTTAACCGTGTGCTTGACAGCTCGAGATAAAGCAAACTGCACCCATCTGCTGTGCCAGTCATGCTTTGCACTGCTCCACTGAATGCGTGTGGTGTGTCCTTTGCTGCGTGCAGGTGAAGAAGCAGATTTTGGATGAGAAGATCTACTGTCCTCCTGAAGCCTCTGTCCTGCTGGCCTCATACGCTGTCCAAGCCAAGGTAAGCACAGGGGGATGCTCCAGGGGCCTGCTGGCTTTGGGTTGGGAGGGACCTGAAAGCTCCTCCAGCTCCAATCCCTGCCACGGGCAGGGACCCCTTCCACTAGAGCAGCTTGCTCCAAGCCCCTGTGTCCAACCTGGCCTTGAACACTGCCAGGGATGGGGCAGCCACAGCTGGTGATGGGTTGATGTTGCTCCTTTACTGCTGTAGCCAAAGGCAAACCAGCCGTGGGACTTAGGGTTTGCTGCCCCCCCAGAATACTTGTCATCATGAGAACCACTTTAGTTTGAGTGCTACATCTCTGCCACATGATGTTATTGCAGTGTTAAAGGGCTCTTCCTGGCTTTTCCCTTGATCTTGGGTTTGATCTTGGCTGTTTGGCCTTGCTAGGCAGAGGAAGACATCAGCGGTCACCAAATTCCCCTCATTCCTCTGCTCTGGAGTCTGTGTTTTGCTGAGGATTTATTTAGGAGAACATGGATTTCCTGTCTGGAGCAGGCAGCCTTGGACAGCTTGCAGCAGCCCACAGCAGAGGGAGCTGCCCGAGGTTGAGAAGTCGAAACGTTCTAGCAGGACGGGAAGGAATTTATCCTGTGTATGCACAGCATGTCCTGCTGCTCAATTAACAACTCCTGCAGCTGATCTCCAGTTGGTGTGTGTAGAGATGATGTCTTTGGGAAAGGAGTGGGTCTGATCGCAGCCCAGCTATGGTACTGCTGTAGCCTCCTGTTGCAGGCAGTCCTAACTCTGGATTGGGATGCAGGGAGGTGTTTTGGCTCACAGGACCTCAGGCTGGTGGCCGGGCCCTATCCCTGTCCTTGAGGAGCAGCAGTTTGGGAGGAGCAGGGTGGCTCTGGTCTGTGAGACCCCTTTAGCTGACAGTGCAGGACAGGGGGTTTGGCTCTGCTGCCTGAAGAGAGGGCCTGGTCCAGGCTGCTTGCAACCAGGGGTTGTCCTCAGTGTTCCCCCATGGCTTTTTCTGCATCACAGAACCATTGGGGTTGGAAGGGACCTCTGGAGATCATCCAGGTCCAACCCCTTGCCAAGGCAGGGCCACCCAGAGCAGGTCACACATGGAATCACATAGGTTCTGGGGTCCTGGGATGGTGGGTTTGGGATGTCTCCAGAGAGAGAGATGCCACCAGCCCCTCTGCAGCCTGTGCCAGTGCTCTACCACCTCAGCTGAAAGTTGCTCTTGCTCATGTTGAGGTGAAACTGCTTTAGTTTATGGCCATTGCTCCTCATCCTGTTGCTGTCATTGCCATATAATGGGCCTCACAGCCCATCAGTTGTGTGCAGGCTGCAGCCCTGGGTGATGTGCACTGATATTCTTTGGTGATGAATGTTTGAATTTACTAGGAAAAGGTTTTCTCCTCGTTGTCAGAATATTGATGGAGCCGTGTTTTGTTGGAGAGACCCATCAGGGGAAGGACAAGTTGCTTTTCCAAACGCTGCTGTTTGAGTCCAGCATTCATCACTTATTAGAGTGCCTGAGCACACACTTGCCTTTTCCTCTGTTGACCTGCTGAGCTGAGGATACGGAGGGGATGACATTCCCTGTTGCAGGAATGAATAAACCATTGAGTAGATATCGAGCGCTGTTAACTCTTGGCTGTGACAGCTTCTGCTCGTGTGGCTGGGAAGAGGCTGTGATGTGGTTCAGGGCTGTTGTACCAGCCCCTTTCCCTTCTCCCAGCTCAGCTGCTGCCCTTGGGGCTCAGTAGCACACTTGACGTGCTCAACACTTGGCTGCAGTCAGAGCAGTTCTTTTAACCTTGATTCTGCACAGAGATTGTGATGCCCTTTCTGTTCTCTGCTAATGTGCTTTCATGTCAGCATCAGACAGCACTTTTCCTTGCTGCTCCTGCAGACTAGCCAGGCTCCAGGCGGGGTTTCCCCTCCTTCTTGTCCTTTTTCAGGCAAGGAGGAAGCTGAAAGCACATCTTCAGTGTAGAATTGGGGAGAAAGATGTTGCAGGTCATCTCCTTCCCAGTTCAGTAGGATAAATGTGTCCTTCCTGGTCAAGAGAGTGGCCACTGAGCACAGTAATTTCACTAACAACGTGCTGATCTGCATGATTAGGGCCATAACAGCCTGACATAGAGGTGTGTGTGCATCTGATAACAGCCACTTGACTGACAGCCAGCTTGGGTTGGGCTGTTGCTGCACTCCTAACTGCAATAACAAAGGGAGCACGGGGGTCATTACAATAAGCCCTTATTTATTTCTGTGTTAGGGGGCTCATTTGGGGAATTACTGTGTGTTTCCCTCTAGCCCTGGTTCAAACCAGCCACGCTGCTTTCAGGTGGTGGATATGGTTCAGGTTTTAAATAGCCTGGGGTCTACTGAGACATGCATCCAGCAGAACATGGGGATGTCCAGGGGTGCTTCTGTTTCTTGCCCCTTAAATGCAGATCCCTGCTTGCTGCAGCCCCCTCAGCACTTCACATCCTGTAGCACTGTAAAGGTCTCTTCTTTGCTTGCATTTTAGTTCATTTTCCTCCCAGACAAGCAATACTTGGTGTCAATAGCTTGAAGCTGAACATGCCAGTGTTTATCCAGGACAATAAGCCAAGGGTATGAATGAGGTAAAGGCACTTTCCATGGGTATCTGTGAATATTAATCGTTGTTCTATTAACAGGAGCTGCAATTCCAGGACAGTTTTGAAGTGCTGATTTAACTGAAAAGGTCTTTAGAAGTATGTTTGCAAATCATTTCCGCCAACATATACTGCAATACTTAGAGCTGTTTGTTGATGTTTGACTTGTGGATAATCAATGTTCTCATTCAGGCTTCTCAGTACAAATATTCCTTTGGGACACAGCAATGTTTTTCACCACGTGCAAATCACATAATCCATACTTAGTCTTGGATCTCTCTGGTAGATCACAACCCAATATAATCACATTAATCCTCTTTGCTGTTCTTTTCATCACCTACAAGTGATTTATTTCCTGCCTCTCCAAGGGTGTTGGAGTTGTTTTGTTTGCCAGCACTACGTTGTTACGGCTCTTCCCTTTTGATGTGGGTTCAAGGGATGTGTACCTGCAGCATGCTGGTCTCTGAGGACCTCCAAGCATCTGTGGAGACCTTGGAAAACAGCTGAAATCCATGGTGGTTTTGTTCTGTTAATTGAAGTCTGAGTCAGTGTTGATTGTTGCATGCTTCCTTTGCATCTGCACTGGCTCCAGATCAACATCTGCCTCTTTAATCCCTGCTTCTCATCTCTGAAACAAGGGTGTCTGTGGAGATGTTTGATGCTGAGCTCTGGTTTCAGTGTACAACGTGCTGGTTCTGGTGTTAAAAGGAGGCTGGTATGGAGCTGCCTGACCTAGGACATGACCACCACATGCATCTTGGTCTTGGTTTGAAAGATTGTCACCATTTGGTACTTCTTGAGCTGAGGTTCTTCAGGAAAGCAGTGACTTGAGCACACATCACCGTGCCTTGTGTAACTGGGGAGCGTTACTGCAGAACCCTGCTTGCAGGTGAATGGAAATCACAGCGTTCCATGGACGTGCCTCACATCCACCGTCCTCCTGAACTTGCTGGCTTATTCGAGGTGTGGGTTTCTGGTGCTTTCCTGCTCTTTGAGGCTGTCCAGGAGGTAAATCCATTCTCCCAGGCACAGCAGGAGCGCTTGGCTGTTCACTCTGTAGCACGTTTGTTTCTCAGTCACTTCATATGCTCAGAAAGATGCAAATCTGAACAAATAGCCCTGATTTCTGGCTGCCCTTCACAAATCCCAATTGGGGTCTGTGCCGCAGTCGAGCGACAGACCCTCCGGCAGAAAAATTGTCACCTTAAAGAAGTCTATCCAAGTCCTGTGTGTTCTGTCTTCCAGGAGGGTGGTGAGCAGCAGCAGAAAAACTGCCTCACCTCAACCACTGGCATCAGACAGTCTTTGGGGGCAGGTCTTTGTCTGTATCTTGACTCCCTGTCCCTATACCTGGATGACAGCAAGGATCCCTCTCCTACAGAGTCTTTCCCTGTATTGGAGGAAGTGTTTCCTGGGCATGGTAACCAGAGTGGAATAGAACTGTTGGAAAGGACTTACAGCAATCATCTGGTCCAAGTGGAGGATGTAGGATAGATGGTGGACACAGGCTTGGTAGAGTCAGTGGAAATCCAGTGCTGCTCAGGGCTTTACTTCAGTGTTAGTCTGTTCCTGTCCTGGAGGATGCACGTTTTGGGAAGGAATGGCTTTATGGTTGGATTCAATGGTCTTAAAGGTCTCCAACCTAAATGATTCTGTGATTCTATGATGGTGGACACTGGCTGGAGGGTGGACATCAGCCAATGGTGGGCAGTTTGTTGTGCTTCCACCTCTGCTGCATGAGGAGGATGTCAGTTCCTATCAGCAATCAAATAACAAAGCGAATCTGGTTATTAAACCCATCGAGCAGCCTCTGCTCTCTGCTGCAGGAGGGTGTGAGGTGTGGGGTGGAAGTGCTGTTTGCTGCCTGCCCACGGGGTGGATGTGTGGGGTGAAGCGTTTTCCTTGCCTGTGGTGTTAAGGTGGGGTGAGCACAATGTCTGTGCTTCTTTGCAGTATGGCGATTACGATCCCAATGTGCACAAGCGAGGCTTCCTGGCACAAGAGGAGCTGCTCCCAAAGCGGGTAAGGAGCTTGGCTGAGAGGAGTGGTGGCTTTCCAAGGCCTCTGCACAGAGGGTCTATGTGGGGCTGTCTCAGGGGTGCCTGGGGCTCGGGTGTTGCTGGCTCAGTGTGACCTGGTCTCTGTCTCCCCACGTGTCTCAGGTGATAAACCTGTACCAGATGACTCCGGAGATGTGGGAGGAGAGGATAACAGCCTGGTATGCAGAGCACCGGGGCAGAGCGAGGTGAGTGTGTGCTGCAGTGCTGCCTCAGGGTCAGTCCCATCAGGACCACAGGGTTTGGGGAGCTTGGGCAGGTGATGGATGAGCTCTGCTGGCAGCAGGGTTAATCCCAGCACACCTCTGCAGCACACTCACGAAGGACAAAGGGCTTTCTTTGCTGTCCTCAGGTCAGTGACAGGGTCCTGATGGTGTGCAGGGCCACCTGCAGAGGGCAGGGAGGTGAGCAGCCCTGCTGCCTGGGGTCAGGGTGATTTGGGAGCCAGGAAAAGAAGTGGGGATGTGTTCTGATGAAGTGTTATTGCTGCCTCAGGTGGAAAACTGCTCCTTGTCAGGTGGATAAGCCTGAAGTCAGATGGATCCTCCCAGCCAAGGACTTCCTAATTATGCCCAAAGGATTGGGAGACAGACAAAGCAAAGCTTGAAGTGCTGCATCTCTCAAGGCCTTGGCAGCCATTAAGATGCTGGCAAGCTGCAGAGTGGGATTTGCTGTTGGACTTTATTGATCTTGCCAGCAAAGACAGGATTGACCTGTGTGATAGACACAGTCCAGGTTTTAAAGCTTGTGAGTGCTTAGGCTTAGAAGGAGCAGTCGTGCCTCTCTCCCTGATCCTGCTGAACACTGTAACGCTGACCTTTCTTTGCCTGACAGAGATGAAGCTGAAATGGAGTATTTGAAGATAGCTCAGGACTTGGAGATGTATGGAGTGAACTATTTTGCTATTAGGGTGAGTGCAGGCTGTGGGACGTGTCTGCTTGCTGGTGTAGCACTTGTGTTCATCTTTTGTGTTGCTGTGGGATTTGGAGCTTTGGAGAGCCAGCAGACCTGGGAGATGTTGTTGTAGCGGTGCTACATGGCTGGAGGTGAAGAGCTGCTCCCACAGGAGCTCTTCTTCAGACAAGATCAGTGTCAGAAGCTGTGTCATGGAATCCCCTGGTTTGGGTTGCAAGGGACCTTAAAGTTCCGATCCTGTTCCGACCCCTGCCACAGGCAGGGACTCCTTCCACTAGAGCAGCTTGCTCCAAGCCCCTGTGTCCAACCTGGCCTTGAACACTGCCAGGGATGGGGCAGCCACAGCTTCTCTGGGCACCCTGTGCCAGCGCCTCAGCACCCTCACAGGGAAGAGCTTCTGCCTCAGAGCTCATCTCAGTCTCCCCTCTGGCAGGTTAAAGCCATTCCCTTTGGCCTGTCCCTACAGGCTCCTGTCCAAAGCCTCTCTCCAGCTTTCCTGTGGACCCCTTTAGGTATGGGAAGACCGTTACAAGGTCTTCCTGGAACCTTTTTCCAGGTCCTTCTGATGCTTCCAGAAGCTCTTCAGATGCACAGTACTGGTGGGTTGCTGCTCAGGGCTGGGTGATGAAGCTAGCAATGGGTCATGTCAACCCTCCTAGTGGAATTAAAGGGGTTTCTGCTTTTTTCTTTCCTCCTGTAGAACAAAAAGGGCACCGAGCTGCTCCTTGGAGTGGATGCCTTGGGTCTTCACATTTATGACCCAGACAACAGGTTGACCCCTAAAATCTCCTTCCCATGGAACGAGATCCGCAATATCTCATACAGCGATAAAGAGGTAAGGCCAGAGCTCAGAAGCTGAGCTCTCTGCTTTACTCTATATATTCCAGTGTACCCACTATGTATTCCAGTGTCTATATACTGTTTTATGAAATAGCGAGGTGTTTTCCTGGTGAGAAGAGCTCTTGTCATCTCATTACATCACCGGGGTTTTCAGGCTGCCAGGCTTGGCATGACAGCTGGAATCTTTTTAGGAAGTTGGGTAATTTAAGCCTGCTGTTGGGGTAGATACTTATTAAATCCAGAGCATAAATATGAGTCTTCTGAGTCGTTGGCCACCAAACCCAGTTGGGAACAGCAATGGACTTGGCAGTGGAGGGTGAGCTGATGGGCTCGGTTTTCAGTCTGAGACAGCAGCTCAAGGGAAGGAGCTGCCTCGTTGCGAGGAAGAAAATGAGTTTCTTAATTAAAAATGGTTTTCTAAGCTAATGCTGATATTGATCAGGGTGGAAGCTGAAGGTTCCTCATATTTATTGCATGTCTTGTGCAGTTCTGTGCGCAGTGAGGCCATGCTGGAGTTCTTGTCTAAGAATGAAGAGCTTCCCAGCTCTGCAGGACAGCCCCACGCTTGGTGACTTCCAAGGGCTTTCCTGCCTGTGACAGACAAGTGCAGCAGCAGCTGCCTGCTCAGTGATTGCCTCAGGAGCCTCCCTAACCAGCTCCTGACACAAGGCTGTAACAGAGCTTTCTCCTGGGAGAAGGGACTGTTACCTTCCATCAGGTCACTGATCTGTGTAATGAAGTGACCACGAGTAGAGCTGACATGGTAGTAAACAGGCTCAACAGCTGGCTATGACAGCTCCATCAGCAGCAGAGGGCTTTGATCCAGCCCAGGCAAGACTGGCTCTTTACCTGGAGCTGCAGTTCCTCTCCTGGCTGTTGCTTTCCAGGCCTGGTAGGGCTGTGCTGGAGCCTCAGTCCAGGGACGTGCACTCACATCTGCCTGTGTGTAAGTCTAAAGGTTGGCTCTTAAACTGATGAAACAAAGCCCTGCCAGGGCCAGCTCTGCCCAGCCCTGGTCAGGCAGTGCCATGGCTTGACAAACAGGCCTGCTTTAATGGACACAGACTGCTCGAGTGCTGTCTCAGCTGGGTGGTTTTGCAGTGTGTGGCAGAGTGATGGAATACAAGCGTGCTGCTAAGGAATGCTGTGCTGTGAGCACTCCAGCTCTTCAAGTGCCCTTTTAGCTAGTGCAGAGTTACCTGTCTATGCAGGGGTTGGGTTGCTGGAGTCTGGTCATGCCACCTGTGTCCTGCTCTCCAAGCCATGGCTGGAACTGTTTGGTTGGTACCTAGAGTGTGAATACAGAGAGAGAGGATACTGGAGTTCAGAGTGACAGGGCTTGTGACAGGGCTGACTGCCAGAGACCAAAACCCTCCTGGGCAGCCCTTGCGAGTGGAGGTGTCACTGGGCAGGGCAGCAGCTCCTGTTGCTGTGTTCCTCATGCAACCTCCTTACCCACCATCAGGCACCTGAGCTGGTTCTTCCTCCAGAAGCATCAGGAGTTCCTGCTGTGGTTTCTCTGTTCTCTGGAGCAGCAGGAGAGCAGCATCCTGCCTCCGGAGGTGCTAGGCTGCCTCTGCCCTCTGCAAGGTGCTGTGTTGCAGCCTGTGGGTAGACAGCACTCTCATTGCTTCTGTGGCCTCACGTTTGTCTGAGCAGAGGGACAGTTGTCTCCTTGCTTGCTTTTGATACTGGTTCTCTTGCTTGGCTAAAAGCCACAGGGACAGCTCTCAGCCTTGTTTGTCTGACACTGCTGACCTCCTCCGAGCCAAAGCTTTCAGTAAGACATTTATAGCTGTGTCTTTATTAAATGCACTGCTCTCTGATAACTCTCTCCCTCTTTATTTTTCCCTTTTCAGTTTACCATTAAGCCATTGGACAAAAAGATTGATGTTTTTAAATTCAATTCATCAAAGCTGCGTGTGAATAAGCTGGTAAGTCTCCAGACGGAGTCATTTTTATGGGCTGCAGCAGTAGTTCCTGCAGGCAGTATGAGGCAGTGTTCTTTTGGGGCTTTCCTTGGAGCAGGCAGAGGCAGTGTGCTGGCCTGCCTGGGCTCTAGATGTCATTTGGTAGCAGTTACTACTGAGAGGCTCGAGAAGAGGAAGGGGCAGCTCAAGTCAAGCTTGTTCACAGAACATCTTCCCCCCCTCTCCTGTTTTTTGTGTTCCCTTGCTGAGCCCTTGGGTTGACCTGCACAGTGGAAGCACTCAGTGAGTAAAACGTTCTTGTCACCTCATCCTGTGGAGCCAGGCTGAGAGAGCTGGGCTGGGTCAGCCTGGAGAAGAGAAGGCTCCTGAAGGGGAGACCTTAGAGCAGCTCCAGTGCCTGAAGGGGCTGCAGGAAAGCTGGAGAGGGGCTTGGGACAAGGGATGTAGGGACAGGCCAAGGGGAATGGCTTTAACCTGCCAGAGGAGAGACTGAGCTGAGCTCTGAGGCAGAAGCTCTTCCCTGTGAGGGTGCTGAGGCGCTGGCACAGGGTGCCCAGAGAAGCTGTGGCTGCCCCATCCCTGGCAGTGTTCAAGGCCAGGCTGGACACAGGGGCTTGGAGCAAGCTGCTCTAGTGGAAGGGGTCCCTGCCCATGGTAGGGGGTTGAGCTTTAAGGTCCCTTCCAACCCAAACCAGGCTGGGATTCTATGATCTTTTTTCCAGATCCCCTTTCTTCTGCAGACCTTTCCCATTCTGCCCTATGATGTAGATCTCCCTGTTCTGGGACCATTGCCAGGCACAGTCCTGGCTTTTGCTAGGCTGGTCCCCTCTGAGGACACTCTCCTTGTACAAGGATGGTGGGGGCTATGTTGAGCATCTGTGTTAGAGACCAGCTTTAGCCAGTGTTGTGAATTTGGTATCTGGAGGAGCTTTGATCCGGGTCCTGTAGTAGTTGTGCACCGTCGCTAAGTTGCATGAGGGTCCTTTGCTGTCCTGGTGGAGCCTGTCCTGTACTTCCCATGCCTTAGGGAACCCACTGCACCACGTTCATAGTGCTGAAGCTCCTGTGACTCCAGAGAAGCCATTTGTGACCTGTGAAGTGAAACAGCAGATGGGCTTGTGAATCAGTGCTTTAGAAAGGAATCCCAGTTTAGAACCTGCTGTTCTTGCTGAGAAGAGCTTTCACTCTCTTGTGTACCCATCCTTTTGCTAACCCTCCTCTAGTATTGCCACCTCCCGTGTCCTCCTTGAGTACCAGAGGAACCCGTGGTGGTCCTCAAAGCCTTCAGCAAAAGTATCTGGGGATGTTCAAGGAGGTTTTTTATAAACCTTCTGTTTGTCCAGAATGGAAAAGGTTTTTCTTCCTCTTTTTTTGTTTCTTTTTTTAGTCTCAATGCTTGACACATGCACTTGAGAGAAGGCACAAGTTGATCTTGAGCCTAAAGAAAGGGGGGCAGTGAGGACCAGGGAGCTATGGTAGGGTGTGGGATAGTGGGTGGAGGTGCTTACAAGCACCAGACCCAAGCAGCTGTAGTGGCTCTGTGTGTCAGGAATACAAACCACCTCCTGGTCGTCATGTGTACAGCTCTTTCTCTCCACTCTTCACCCTCGACTGGAATAGATTCTTCAGCTGTGCATTGGAAACCACGACCTCTTCATGAGGAGGAGGAAGGCAGACTCGTTGGAGGTCCAGCAGATGAAAGCACAGGCCAGGGAGGAGAAAGCCAGGAAGCAGGTGAGAGACATCTCCCGTAACCAAACCGTGAGCTGAAATCAGAGCTGCAAATGAACTCGGGAGGGAGCAGTCTCCAGAATGGCACCAAGCACTAGGAGCAGCTTTGAGGGAAGGGCCTGTGAACATCTTGTTAATAGACTGCTCCCGGCTCGCCAGCCATGCCCAGCTTGGCTCTGCAGGCCGGTGGCAGCCCGCATCCAGCCCCTATACTGGAGCACAAAACTGGGATGATGGGAGGGAAGAGCTGATCCGGGTGTCCTGCAGGTGTGTGCACATCTTCCCTGCCTTGCTTTACCCCTGGGCTCCGTGGCTGGCAAGCTGCTGTGTGAGGGGGTATTTGCCTGTAGGGAAAGCAGAGGCTGTGAGGGGGAGCAGTGCTTTGCTGAGGTTCTTTGCCTCCTTGTCTAATTGCCTGCTGATGGAATGCACGCCGGGGCTGGGGCATGCAGCTTGCATGCTAATCTGCTGCTGGCCCCCTTTATCTGCCGCAGGTCAGCCCAGGCGGTGAGAACGCCTCTTTGGAGGCACCAGCGTGGAGGCAATGAACATACATCAGCAAATTGGATTGTCTGAATCATTGTTTTCTGCTCGTAGACCTTTTCTACTCCCTGAAACCTGCACAGCTAATCTGAGTGCTGGTGCTTAGAATATAAATGGCCCTTTTGCAATCAAACCACTATATTGCAGCAGGAGAAACCGGAGCAGCCACTTGTACCCAGGAGGGCCTGATGCTCAAGGGACTGTTAAGTTAATGGGTTTGAGCATGGCCACAGAGGTGGCTGCATGGTGCTGAGCTTGGCCTTGAGGTGCTGGGCTGACCTGGAGATGTGGCATGGCTTGCCCCACAGGCACCTCCTGAAGCAGTTCTCCTTCCTGCAGCTCATGGGGCAGGAGAGGATGGGACATGAGTCACTCTGAGCAGAACTAGGGCAGCTCCTCTGGGAATGGGGATTCTTGCTTCCTCTGGTCAGTAAGGAGTTGGTGCCGTGGAGCAAAAGCTCTCTGTGGAAGGAGCATTGAGGTGTCCAAGTGCTGGTGGCTTCAGGGGCAGGTTTATGTGTTGGAATAACATGAGCAGGACCTGGGATCTGTGCTTAGCTGGGCTGCTGGGAGAGGTGAGGGTGCTGAGGGCCAGCAGGAGCTGGGCACCTCGCATGGGCTCTCCAACCCAGAGCACTTGTGCCCTATGGGAAGGGTCAGGCTCCTGCTTGGGTTGGCTGCCCTGCTGTAGCCACCGTGCTGCTGCCTGCTCTCCTCCCTCCCCAGCACCCGCAGTTAGGAACTGGTTCTGGACCGTCCTTTTGTATTGGGAATTCGTGTTAATGGAGGTCCTGAGTGGGATGCAGATCATAATGATAATTAATGAGGGAAACCTTTAAGAGAAGGCAGCAGAGCTGTTTGAGCAGTGGGAGTCTCACTCTCAGAATACAGTTGGTGTCCAAGGAGCAGAGATGTGTTTTGTCACACTTACTTCCCTTATTAAAGCCAGCGGGTGGCCTGTGCCAAGCTGTGAGTCCTGCCTGCAGTGGGGATGCTGATAAAACACCCAGCCTGTCCTGCTGGAGGGATTAAACGTGGTGTGCTTATCAGCCCAATGGCTCCCTTTGGGCTGTTGGTTAGTGGAGAGGCAGTGGTTGGGCGCATTCTGTCTGCACAATGCTCTCAGCATCTTCTGGGAAGAGGTGGTGGATTCTGGTGGGATGTCTCAGCATAGCTTGGGTGTTCCCCTCCTGGGGAAGCATTGCTGTTTCCTGCAGGTGGAGCTGGGGGAGAGAGCTCGTGTACCTGAAGGTGACACCAAGTTGGCCTACTGGAGGGCAGGAGGCTCTGCAGAGGATCTGGACAGGCTGGATCCATGAGATGAGGGCGATGGGATGAGGTTCAAAAGGCTCAGTGCTGGTCCTGCACTTGGGCCACAACAACCCCATGCAATGCTCCAGGCTTGAGGAAGTGCAGCTGGAAACTGCTCATGGGGATGCTGATTGATGGAGCTGAACCTGAGCAGCTTGTGCCCAGGCAGCCAGGAAGCCACCAGCATCCTGGCCTGGATCAGCACCAGTGCGGCAGCAGGGCCAGGGCAGGGATTGTGCCCCTGCACTGGGCACTGGTGAGGCTGCACCTCAAATCCTGAGTTCAGTTTTGGGCCCTTCACTGCAAGAGAGACCTTGAGGTGCTGGAGCAGGGCCAGAGCAGGGCACTGGAGCTGGTGTGGGGCCTGGAACCCAAGTGTGATGGGGAAGGGCTGAGGGACCTGGGGGGTTCAGTGTGGATAAGAGAAGGCTCAGGGGGGACCTGATGGCTCCCTACAACTGCCTGAGAGGAGGATGGAGGCAGGAGGGGCTGGGCTCTGCTCCCAAGGAACAAGGGATGGGACAAGAGGAAACGGCCTCAAGCTGCCCCAGGGCAGGTTTAGATGGAGCTGAGGAACAATTCCTGCCCCAGAGGGTGCTGAGGCATTGGAACAGGCTGCCCAGGGCAGGGCTGCAGTCACCGTCCCTGCAAGTGTTCACACCCCGTGGAGAGGAGGCCCCAGTGCCATGGGGCAGTGGTGGCCTTGGCAGTGCTGGGGAATGGTTGGACTGGATGGGCTTAAAGGGCTTTTCCAACCTGGCTGGTTCTGTGATTCCATGATGTGGGAGCTGGCAGAGGTGGTTGCATGCTTTGTGCCCTCCCCTAGGAATGAGTGGAGGTGATGTTTCAGGCCCGCTGGGTTAGGTGCCTGATCCAAAGCAGGAGCTCTCCACATCCTCCAAGCTCCTGCCTTGCCGTGTGTCTGTACTTGGTGTTTGGAAGATGCCCTCAGCCTGCCCTTAAGCCCAGCCTTGCTCTCTGGTCAGTGTGCTGTAAGGAGCTCTGCGGGTAGCTGGAGCTCTTGGGACCTTCCTTGTGTGAGCCTGCCCTGTGAGGCAGTGGAGGGGGGAGCTCTTTGGTATGCAGTCACCTGCTTGGGTGGCTGTGCTGTAGGGAACAGCCTGATAGGGCTGATAGGATAGGGCTTGTCTCAGGAATGGCCCTTTACAAGGGAGCTGAATGTGTTAGGTCACCCCCATGTAGTGAAGCTCCCAGTGTTGATAAGCAGAGAGGAGGCAGCAGTGCAGTCCTGTGCTCTAACCACACACAGTGACCGTTCCTCATGCTATGAAAAGCCTTTCTAATGTGTATTGTTTCTCCTTGCTTTCCCCAATCCCTCTCTCCTAGATGGAACGGCAGCGCCTGGCCCGAGAGAAGCAAATGAGGGAAGAGGCTGAAAGGAAAAGGGATGAGCTGGAGAGACGGTTGATGCAGTTAAAGGAAGAGGCAACAATGGCCAATGAGGCTCTGGTAGGTTGTTTCCTGAGGCACTGCAGCTTTTCCTCACTCTTTCCACTGCCAAAGTGTTTCAGGAGGCACATTGTGACTGTCCTGTGGCTGTGCAGACGAGGCCCTCAGTGCCATGGGTTAGTGGTGGCCTTGGCAGTGCTGGGGTTGGACTGGATGAGCTTAAAGGGCTTTTCCCACCTGGTTGGTTCTGTGATTCTGTTCTCAAAGTGCTGCTGGTGGATGGTGATCAGGAGGGTGGATGGAGGGACACAAAGGAGGATGATTTGGAGCAGAGCCTGGGCACATCCAGGTCTTGGCTGCAGAAGCTGCAGGCTTGCATGGAAGGGAGGGAGGGACTCTATGGGCAACCATGTGGAGCGAGCAGCTCAGGGCTGTGCTCCGGAGGCTGTGAGCACATTTGGGGGGACGTTCAGTGTGCTTGATGGCTCCATGTGCCTTGTTTCTCAGATGAGGTCCGAAGAGACAGCAGACTTGCTGGCCGAGAAGGCGCAGATCACGGAGGAGGAGGCCAAGCTCCTGGCTCAGAAGGCAGCCGAGGCTGAGCAGGAGATGCAGCGGATCAAAGCCACGGCCATCCGGACGGAGGAGGAGAAGCGGCTGATGGAGCAGAAGGTGCTGGAGGCAGAGATGTTGGCACTGAAAATGGCCGAGGAGTCGGAGAGGAGGTCAGAGGGTCCAACCTTGCAGCTGCCTCTGCTTTGCTTTCCAACCCCCTTTGACTTGGCTGAAAGAGTGGCTCATGCCTTGAGTTAATCCATCCGAGGGTGTGTAGTGAGCCCTTGGCCTCCTGTGTGTGTACAGCAGTGCATAGCCCCAGGGCTGGCTGGTTTCTCCATCCATCTCTCTCTGTCTTGCTGTTTGCCACAGCTGGGCTGTGTCCCGGTAGGAAATGGTGCTGGTAGAGCAGTGGTGGCCCTGATCTTCCCCTGGATTAGAGCTGGAGACCTGTCTCCAAAGCCTTCTTTTGGGAGGGATTCTGTGATGGGAGCAAGGAGAGGGGCTGTCAGCAGGGGAGAAGGTCCCAAGGCCCTTGGTGTTCTGCCTCCTGTGCCTCTTGTGCCCTGACAGCAGCAGCTCTACTTTGGGGTAATTTCTGCAAACACCCACTGCATTCCTCAAAGTATGTGACATTAATAACACTTGTGGTTGTTTTTTCCTCTGGATGGTAGATCTACATTCCCTATTCCCTCTTTATTCCTGTTTGCCTCTGTTTTTAGTTCTCCTTCCTGGTGGTGAGCTCTCTGTTTCAGGTTAGCCTTGAGCTAACCCCTAGCTCCTGGAGTCCTTGCTTCTTGTTAAACCTGGTGTTTCCATCCTCTTGATACCAGAGCCCAGGTCCCATCGTGCATTTGGTAGTGAGCAAGTAAAAGATGATTCTTGTTTCCTTCCAGCTGATTACTCCTTTCCATGTGAGAGCTTGTTTGGCATCAGCCCTTCTGCTTGGATGAACGCTGCCCTTGTCCATCTCATCTTGCCTTGGTCTCTATCTTACAAAGTCTACACTCAGAATTCAGTCCAGCAAAGAAAGCACTCTTCCTCCTTTGGCTTTCTCTTTGGGGGGCAGTCCTTGAGGGTAAATACTAGTCCTAGAATAGCTGGGCTCTAGTGGTAGGCAAATCTTGGGTGCTGCTTCCTTTTTGAATGCAGCAAATTGTTAGTGGAGGGTAACTTGTCAGAGAGCTGCCTCTCCTGCTTTAGGTCTGAGCTTAACTTTTGAAGTTCTCCCTGTCCTGGTGCCTTAGCCCACTTCTCCAGCCCTTGGCCTTGCTCACTGGTGCTCACACAGCCCATGGCAGAGCTGCCCCGTTGTGGCTTGGAGTTCTGTGCTTATTGAAACATCCCACGTGTCAGAGGTTCTGCCATTTCCCTTGCTCCAATGATTTCTTAGTTTAGGTCTTGTTGGGGGTCAAATCTCAACCTATTGCACACCTACACTGTGATGCTGCTCCTCCAGCTTCTCGTTCCTCTCAACTTCCATCTGATAGTTGCCTTTTGCTGTATGTCTGTAGGGCGAAGGAGGCTGATCAGCTGAAGCAGGATCTTCAGGAGGCCCGTGAGTCTGAGCGGAGAGCGAAGCAGAAGCTGTTGGAGATCACCAGCAAGTCATCATACACAGTAAGAGCGAGCTGGATTGTAATCCCCAGCCCCTAAATGTGCCCTCCTCTGTAACCTGGAGGAGTCTCCTATCTCCATCCCATCGGTGGAGGGATACAAGCTGTCCCGTTGCATTGCTGTTCAGAAACCCTTTGCAGTGCTTGCTCCCTCCATCCAGACACCCCATCCATTACTTTGCTCTTTGTTGTTTTCTTTCTCCCCCACCTGCCCTGCCTCATGCTGCAAGAGTAAAGCAGCTGCTGGAGAAATTAAAGGCAGCAAGTGTAGAATCCATTTAACACCCAGGTCAGGGCTGCACTTTGCTAGCACGTGTGGAGCAAACAGCCTTTAAAATAGGGTTAAATACTGAACAGAGGTGTCCTGATCCTTGTTAGGTTGGATAAACATTGTTCAGAAGCTGTAAATTCATTCTTTGGCATAAAGTGGTCACTGTGCTCCTATGTGCCGGAATTAAAACCCACTTCCTTGAAGGGAGACAATTCCATGATTGCCCATTAAGATTTCACACCTTCCTCTGCAGCATCTGGTCCTGGTTGCTGAAACCGGCCTAAATGACCATGGCTCTGTTCTGTCTGGCAGTTCCTTTCCTCCACTTCTCTAATGCTGTACCTGCAGGCTCCTTCCCATCCTCTGGGAACTTCTGAAGAGTGGATTGAAGAGGATGGAGGTGAAGGAATCTGCTTGAAGTTCCCTGCAAAAGCATCTCAAAGCTTTTCACAGTTGCAGAGATGGGAAACAGGCAGGTGCTCTGAGCTCTGGGACACCTCCAGGGCTTGCTAAAGCTTAGCTTGGAGTGCTCCTTATTTTACAAGTGTCTAGGATTCTGGGATCCTAGTTCTGGAGCCCTCAGCACAAGAGGGATGTGGTGCTGTTTGTGCCCATATCCAGGTGACAACTCCTTGCTGGACTCTTCCATCCCCTGTTGTGCCTGCCTTGCTTCTCCTGTCCCCTGTGGCCCCTCCCATCCCTCTGCTACGTGAGCCAGAGTAAGATGCTCACTTCAAAGCTGGTGGCCTGAGGGATGAAGCAGTTTGAAAGCTGCTGTTGGGAGACTCATGTCCCTCAGGTGAATGGCAGCTCTGCCCAGCGGTGCAGGATTCCAGCTCCTCTCTTCTGTAATGAGAGTATAACACTGAGCTTGATCTTTTCCACGGTACCAGGGCTTGTGCTGTGTCGTCCCCTGGCACTGAGAGCTAGGCAGGACTTCCCTCTGGAGGAGCAAGAGCAAGGGAGGAAGCAGGGAGTGGATGGATGTAGAATCATTAGGTTGGAAAAGACCCTTAAGGTAATTGAGTCCAACCATTAACCTAGCTGTATGTTGCAGAAAAGGCAAGAAACATATATATATATAGCTATGTATGTATCTTTTAACTTTCCATTATCTAATGCTGGTCCCTTAAAGCTTGTTTCAGTGTCTTTTTAGTCCTTGAAGCTCAGGCTGCTTCTGTGATGTGACTGGTAGGTGATGCATGAGAAATGAGACGTGAATCTGAGTCTCAGATCGTCAGGGCTAGGAGAACAATTCATTCCTTACTCACTTGGCAGCGGCTCTTCCCTCCTTCACTGCCCTTCAGGTACCACTCAGGGCAAGACTAAAGGCACTCATCTCTTCTCTGATCTGCTGGAAGCAGTAAGTGGCTGTCTTGGGCTTGCCCAAATCCTTGAGCAGTGAAGGAAAGGCAGTGGCAGTGCAAGGAGCTCTATCTTCAGGGGAAGCCTCATGACATGACTTGCTCTGTGCTTCCTCTTTCTCTCCTGCTCTGTACTCCAGAGGGATGTCCACTGTCACCTGTATTCATGGCAGGCAATTGCTTTAATGCAGGAACAGGGTTATGCAGTTTGCTCCAGGTGAGGAGACACAGAAGGAAAAGGTCTGTGTCCCCTTTGTCACCCTGTGTCCCTGGATTAAAACTCTGGGTGCCAGCTGCAAGACCTGCCCAGGATCACTGCCATGGCAGGGAAATGTTTGCCCCAGACATTAAGCCACGTCTTTGAAAGTCTTCAGTTTGCTCTTTGCTGTTTTTTCCTCCCTCTTCCTCACTGCTCCTGCTCTCTAACTTCTACACCGTTTGTTTTGTTGCTTCATGGAGGAAGTGGCTGGTGTAACTGTGACACATGGGTACCTGGGTTTAATGATTGCAGCAGCTGAAATTCCTGCTCAGATCCGACTGCTGCTCTTTGGGGTTTATTCTTCAAAACAAAGCCCAAGTAGCTTGTGCTGAAAAGAAATGCTAAAGGTGGTTTGAAGGCCACCAGCCCGGTTGTGAGCATCCTGCCCAGCACAGATCCTAGAATCTCACATGGGAAGGGCTTTGCGAACACCTCAGTGCCTTGCAGGGATAGGACTTGAATGTCAATGGGATGCAAGCACTTGAATCAGGGAAGTGCTTTGGCAACCTGTCCCTTTTCCTTTGAGACTGGGATTTAGGGATTCAGCTGTCCCTTTCAGCCCTGCTCTGCAATTAATGTGCTCTGTGCTAGCAGCAAAGGGCAGGCAGAACTCCTGCCTCCTTGGTGTGAGTCTAACCTGTGCTCCAGCCAAGCCGAGCAGTGCAGTTGGAGGTCCTCGTCTCTGCTTGTACTGGGTGTTTGCTTTCCAGCTCTGCCTCTGCAGCAGACATGAAATGTTGTTCCTCTCGCTGTGTCCAGCCCAAGAGCGAGCAGGGGATGAGCCCTGGCTACTTGTGAATTCCAGGCTGGTGGTGAGGGAAGAGGCAGGTTATGTGCAGAGTAAATCTGTCACCGGCCCGGCACTGGCGGCTCCTGTTGAAGCAGAGCTGGCTGCAAACAATCCCTGGAGTATCCCAAAGAGGAGGAATGAGGGAAAGAAAGAATCAGCTGAAGTTCAAGAGCTCGTGTGCTGGAGCAGGGCCCCTAGAACCATCCTACCAGCTTTTGGTGCGTGCTGCCAGAGCAGCCTCTGCAGCACCGTCCCCAGCACCCCCTCGTCCAGGCTGGCTTGGGCACACTGTTGTCATTAAAGCAAGCATGAATGTCTAGCAGGGAGGTGGGTGACCTTTTGGGTGCCAGGCTGGATTAGTCCCATCCAACACGAGGGCTGAGCACACTGGCAGCAGTTGTGACTCAGATCCTTGACGTGCGCTGCTGCTTGCAACCTCATTGAGCGTAGTGCAGGAGCAGAGTGATGACTGGAGGCAGGATGCTGTTCCTCTGCTGGGAATGAGCCCCTTTGTTAGAGGTGTGACAGGAATTTGGACTGAGAGAAGGGTTGTTTTTTTAGGGGAAGATGAAACGTGAGGCCTGGCAGTGTGTGTGTGTCAATGGGGGTATTGCAGCATCATGCAGGAGGGAGAGAGTCCCAGATCCCTGCTCCGGTGCAAGGAGCAATTCCCGGTGTTATCTCTGCATTTCCAGCTGAATCTGGCAGTGGTTCCTAAATACTTGGAACATTGGTGCATCTCCATGGTCCTTGCTGGAACTGCTGCCTGAGTTAACCCTTGGGGTTACGTTGGTCTTTGCTCACGCTGTGGGGAGCTGTGAAGTGCAGGACTCTGCTGTCATACAGGATCTGGCATTGCCACTGTTCACAGCTTGTGCTTTTTAAATCTCTAACGTTAAATAGCTGTCAGATGTCTCCCAAAAGGCAGCTTCTGACTGACTTTAAGTGGCACAGCAGCGATAAAACCTTGATTTTACCAAGTTCTGTCAATAGATTTTGAAGGCAGGAGGTGTCTTTCTCCTCTTCACTGCCACAAAGAGCGGAGTCCCAAAGGAACAATAGAATGGAAGAGCAAATTGGAAATGGAGCAGGGGGTTCTTCAAGCTGATCCAGTGCTTGGTGTGCTCGCCATCTCCTGTGTTAAAAGATCACCAGCAAAAGAGCAGCCTCATAATCTGTTCTCCAGAAAGTTTGAGGTTGATTCAGGCAAACAGGGTCATGGGCTGTGCCACATCAGGAATCCCACCCTGGTTTGGGTTGGAAGAGACCTTAAAGCTCATCCACACGTGCCCCTTCCCTTTCCCCATACAAATGATGAGATCCTTCTAGTTCAGCACTCTGCAAGGTGGAATACACCCAGCCCCAAGAAGAGTGTGTTGTTACCTGTGTGAGTAGCAGTTCAAGCCCTTACTACAGCATTAGCAAGTAGTGCCTTGTTGTGTGTGCTTAGTTGCTGCTTTATTTTACCTCTGTTACAGAACGTTTGCTATAGGAACATTTGTGTGCCAAGAGGGATTAATCTGTACTCTCTCTTTAGCAGTCTATGAACTCAAGTACAACAGCACTGCCTACTGACCTGCCAAGCTTCAACCTCATCAGTGAGAGCCTGTCTTTTGACTTCAAGGATACTGACATGAAGAGGCTTTCGATGGAAATAGAGAAAGAGAAGTATGTGGCATGTGTCCAGCACTGGGATTTGTGCCTCAGTTGTAGTGGGAGGAATTGGATGGGTGCTGAATGTAGTTTTTAAGTACCAGACAAGCACCAGTGTGAGGTGAAAAGGGGAGAGAAGCCTTTTGTATTCCTTTTGGATTAATAGCTCTGGTTGACCTGGTGTCACAGGCATGTCCCTGCTGCCTGCTTAGAGGCAGGCTTAAGCATGCTGAGCTTGATTCATAGAATCCCAGATTGGTTTGGGTTGGAAGGGACCTTAAAGCTCCTTCAGTTCCAGCCCCTGCCATGGGCAGGGACACCTTCCACTAGAGCAGCTTGCTCCAAGCCCCTGTGTCCAGCCTGGCCTTGAACACTGCCAGGAATGGGGCGGCCACAGCTTCTTATGTTGGGGGCACCAGAGTTTCCTCTCCATAAGATTACCCTGGCTCTTGTTTAGGCTTGAATTGTTCATCTTGGTAGAAGGTTAGGAGCAGCCTGGCTGCTGGTGTGCTGAGCTGTGGCAGGCTGGTGCCACTGCATGTGCAGTGTGTCCAGAGAATGGAAAGTAGCTGCAGTGTGTGCTGAGCTCCTGCTTTGGGGCTTTAACCCCTTTTTCCTGGAATCTGTGTCATGTTCCTATATAAAAAGTGCACACAAGCAAGTTTGGATTTGATTGAGCTTTGATCTTGTGTTTTCCTGAGGGTGTGAGTGTAGCCTTCAACACAACAGATCGAGCAGAAATCAAAGCAGATCCGATTTTAATCTCTGTAGTAATAATGTGCTTTGTGCATCGACTGGCTTGTAGATCAAAGCTGAAAGGGCTCTGCCATAGCGCTCCAACCAAAACTTCCCAGGGCAGGAATGAAGCACCCCTGGATCCCAGAGGGATGGTTTATATTGCCTCTGCTCAATGCCCTCTCCTGTGTGTGGAATAAGAGCCCCCTGTGCTGGAGACAGAGGTGAAAGCTCTTCCTAAAGCCAGAAGGAAAAAGATAGAAGCTGAAAAGAAGGGGCTAATTCCTGCTTCTGTACCCAGGTTGTTAACTGGGTCATCCTGCTCTCCTCAGCAGGAAGAGCTTGGCTCTGCCAAATCCTGAAAGCAGCAGCATCTTGTGCTGTCTTCTATGGGATTGTTCTCCTTCCTCTGGTGCGGGGAGAATGCTCACTACAAATCCTGGCTGTCCGAGAGGGTTCTTGTTGGTCTGCTGGAGCTTTGCCCTGGCTCTCAGTGTTTCATCATGGCTGGCACGGTGTGATTTTTCCTCCAGTTGATGCTTCAGCACAGAAGGCTGTGAGGGCTCAGTCCTGAGAACTGGGTTTGCTTTTTTCCTTCCTTTCTGTTTCTGGGAGACCTCTGTCTCTCCCAGCCTTGCTGTGTGGCTAAGAGATACCTGGTATTTGGGGGGCAGTGCTTGCTCCCACACAATTTACAAGCTAACTCCTTCCAAAACACGAGAATTCAGTACAGCAGGGTCCTTCCTGACTGGTAGGATTTGTGCCTTTGAGTTTGGGAGCTAGCTTTGGGAGAGAGTGCGGTGGAGTAGAGCAGTGGAAAGAGCTAAAACTACTCCCTTGTAGGCTGAGACGTGTAATGTCATGGTGCAGCTTCATGCAGGGATGGGGAGACTTACAAATACCATCCAGCAGCTCCAGCCTGCCTTTAGCCTTTCATACAGTAATGTAACTTAGTTTTGTTCCTGGGTCAGCTGCCTGGGTCCCATTTTAATAACAGCCCCATCATTGCTGAGGCTGGTTTCAGTTCGACACATTAGGAGTAACAGAGAGAAGGTTTTCCTGGTGTCATTCTGTTATCACTGTATCGTGTCAGCCTGGCCTAACCCAGGACTCTTTGTGTGTGCTAGGGTGGAGTACATGGAGAAGAGCAAACACCTCCAGGAGCAGCTGAACGAGCTGAAGACTGAAATTGAGGCACTGAAGCTAAAGGAGAGGGAGACAGCTCTGGATATATTGCACAACGAGAACGCCAGCCGGGGCAACAGCAAGCACAACACTATCAAAAAGGTATCGGAGGGCTCCAGTTTGTATCTCGCCTGCTGAAACCCTTTAAACCCAACCACAACAGAACCCTTCTGTCTGGGTTAGCTTTTGCACAAGTTGTTATAATAAAACTCTTTGATCTAGGCTTCCTTCCCCAGCTGCTCGGCTTTGAACCAGGGGGCAGGGAGTGCCACGTGCTGGCTGATGTTTGCCATAGCCAAACCTTGTCTCTTCAGTGCTGTGTGAAGGGATGCAGAGACCTCGAGCTGTGAAGGTCTTGCTGAAAAGGGATGCTGTTAGAAGGGATCACCACCCTAGTGACTTCAGGAACAGGAAAAGCCCCGTCTGCATGTTGCAGCTGTGCCCTACAGGCATTGCAAGGAAACAAACACTGAGCTTGTCTGGTGAATAATAAGGGCAAAAACGCTTCTGGGTGCTCAGTAGAAAAAGCCAAAAGCCTCGTCCTCTCTCTTAATCTGTTCTCCAGCAGCCTGTAGTGCAGCTTCCAATACTAACAGCCAAATCTGCCACTAGTAGTGGGGTGTGAGATGTCTGCTCCCAGTGCTGTGGACCCTGGAACCACCTGCCTCTAGAAATCCTGTTGGGATGAGTATCTTAGGCCACAATTAGGGTGCTGGGTCTGCTAGCCCAGGGATCGCACCTGGAGAGGGATCTGGAATGCTGTATGGCATGGGATGCAGGCTGGGGTAACAACTCCAGGGTTTGAAACCAAATCCTTCCCTCTTTACTACTCCCACCTGAGAGTAAGGGCTGAAAGGATTTGGAAATACCAGTTGATGCCAGCTTTCATGGCTGGAAGTTCATGATCACTGAACTGGGGCAGGAACACGGATCTACCGGGCCTCACTTCACTCTGCTAGCCCTGAGCTATTTGGGTTCCTGTCACACCAAAGCAGAGAATCTTCCCAGGCCCTTGTCACTGTAGAAGCTGAAGATGTTGCTGCTCCCAGTGGGTTTTGTCTCCATGCTCAGAGTCCTCAGTTTAAGTGGAAAATGGTAAATTTTCACTTCTGACAGAGACAAGTTCCTAGTGAGCTGATGGTCCCATTTGTTTCACTTAAAGAAGGTGGCTGGGCTCATCATTCTAATTGGGACTGTGCAGTCACTCTTCGTTCCTTTGAAGCTGGAGTCTTGTCCTGTCCCCTCCCTTCAGGAGGGATCTGAGGCTGCCCAGCTCCTGCACCTTCACTGGGGGAGCAAAGGTTGGAAATAATAGTCTATTAGTGCAGCACATCAGAATACAATTACAGCCTGGTTTTGTGCATGGCACCAGGAGGGCAGGAGGGCTTTTGTCTTGGTGGTTGTGATGGGAAGGCGGCTGTGAGGCTGGAAATGGAATAGCAGTTTAACAATACTTCAGTAATACCAACCCTCTGCCCCTCCTGGATGCTGCTGATCACTTCAGTGCTCTGGGCAAGCTGGACAGGTTGCACAAATGACCTGACATTACTCATCTCACAGAGGATTCTTTCTTCTTGTTGTTCATTTTATTTTGCTGGTTTAGCCTCAAGCCCAGGGCAGAAGACCTATCTGCATTTGAGACTTCCAAGTAGGTTATTCCAAGGTACTCTCTGCGTGGGGTGCTGGGGTCACTGCCTGCCGCACTAACCCCTGCATGAGCTTGCCTGCAATGCACCCTGCTCTGGCCAGCTCCCCTTGCTGCAAGCCTACAACTTCCTCCCGCACCACAGAGGGGTGTGGTGGTGCTGGTGAGACTGGGCTCACTGTGCCTGTCCCCACAGGGAGCCCATGCAGCACGGCACAGGCTTAAATCACAGCATCCCAGCCTGGTTTGGGTTCAAGGGACCTTCAAGCTCCTCCAGCTCCAACCCCTGCCATGGGCAGGGACACCTTCCACTAGAGCAGCTTGCTCCAAGCCCCTGTGTCCAACCTGGCCTTGAACACTGCCAGGGATGGGGCAGCCACAGCTTCTCTGGGCACCCTGTGCCAGCGCCTCAGCACCCTCACAGGGAAGAGCTTCTGCCTAAGAGCTCAGCTCAGTCTCCCCTCTGGCAGGTTAAAGCCATTCCCTTTAGCCTGTGAATAATTCACCACACCTGTTTTTCTGGGCTGCTGGTGACTGGGAGCCCAGGGGAGGTGCAGGGTGGCCTTTGAAGATTTCTTTAAAGAAGGAAACCAGGACTTTCCCCCTCGTTTGCTGCAGAGAGAAATTCAGGATTTAAAAACAAACCAACCCCAGCAACTCTCTGCTGCCAAAACTGTCATAACAGGCTGAAAACACAGCCCTCCCTCTTGGAGTGGAGCAGCACGTGGTGTCCGTGTCTGCCTGCTTGAGGAGCAGCACAGGCACGTGGAGCAGGCTGCTGAGGGCAGGCAGTGTCTGCAGGGCTGCAGTGGGGTGGTCCAGGGGGGCCGTGTTGGAGCTGCTGGTCACCATCGTGCCTGGGACACCCTGACGGCCTGTGATGCCTCTGCCTCCTTCAGCACAGCGCTCTGGTAAATGTGTTTTCTTTGCAGAGCCTGCTTTCCTCTGAGGATTTGCCCTCAAGGCACAGGCGGAGATCAGCTCCCTCTGCTGGGATGAGGAGTTTGGGGAAGCTGCTTTGTATTTCTCTTTCCTTGACTGTGGTTCTTGCACACTTCTGGGGTTTGGTGAGGTTTGAGTGGCAGTGCTAAGGGAGGAAATGGCAAAGAGGAATGGTTTTAACCTGCCAGAGGAGAGACTGAGCTGAGCCTTGAGGCAGAAGCTCTTCCCTGTGAGGGTGCTGAGGCACTGGCACAGGGTGCCCAGAGAAGCTGTGGCTGCCCCATCCCTGGCAGTGTTCAAGGCCAGGTTGGACACAGGGGCTTGGAGCAAGCTGCTCTAGTGGAAGGGGTCCCTGCCCGTGGCAGGGGTTGGGACTGGAGGAGCTTTAAAGTCCCTTCCAACCCAAAGCAGTCTGTGCTCTGTGGTTCCAGGGCTGTAAATCACTCAAGTTAGGACTTTGTGCCCACCAGCCGCTCTCTGGGGAGCTGCAGATGTTCCCAGGATGGACCTCTCTCCCTCTGTAAGCATTTCCTTGGGGAAGAGGTTAGAATGAGGGGAGGCCCTCACCTTGGATGTCTCTCTGGGGCAGGCTGGCTGTAGTTTCCCACTGCCCCATCCCAACTGGCTTGAGGAACCCCATGGCAGGCGAAACCCAGGGAGGTGAGGTGGAGCCCTGGCAGTTTGTGGTGAGACCCATGCAGCAGCTGGGAGGGATTCGGTGCTGGGAGGAGCCCCCATGGTTCAACCAGGATGTCACCTCTGAGGCTCCATGCCTGCCTTTGAAGACACCTGCAGAGTTTGTCCTGAGTAATTACGTGGTTAAGGTGCTAATCCTCTTTATGAGCCCTATGGGCACAGCAGAAGCACCTCAGCTGGAGCCTGATCTCCTCTCCACCACGGGCTGGTGCTGCTGATCCAGCTCACTTGGCTTCAGGAGTGTTTGCCACTTAGGCTGTGGTAGGAGATGGAAAAACCCACTTCTTCCTCGCATCCTCCAGAGCAGAGAAGCTCCCAGGGCAGGCTGCTGCTGAAACCACAATCAGGTCTTTCGTTGCACTTGCTTTCTTCTTGCACCGTCATGCTTATTTACTGTGATTTAAGCCCTTTGAAGTATGCAAATCTCCAGGCTGTTCCCAGACAAGCAGCTTTGTCTTTGAGCAGCTCTCTGGTCCTTCCCCAGGCAGGCTTGGCTTTTCCCTGCCAGGCTGTCACATGGCTCCTGGCTTTTCCTCAGATGCAGGGTTCTCCTGAGCCTGGAGCTTGCTCCTGAGGGCCAGCACTGGGGTGCCCGTTGGGGTCGTTGGACATGGGTGAGCTGTTGCTGGTCCCAGTCCTGGCTCACCCTGGTGGTGGTGCAGTGTTGCCATCAGGTTGTTGAGGTTTGGATAAGCTGCTTCAGATCTGCTTTATCACCAGTAGACTCCTCTGGGCTTCCTCCATCATTTGGGCCGTGAGCAGTCGTGTTCTACCACATCCCCTTCAGGCTCAGGCAGTGAGCAGCTCCTGGCTGCCAAGCACGGAGGGGCAAGGGAGGCAAAGCAATGTGGACTCATCTGCAGGCTTATCCTCACTCCTTTCACCTTCAAGCTGTGCTCTGGGTTGTCCTCTACAGCAGTATAAGGGCACTGGTGATTTAGTGATGGGCACTGCCATCTGAGTCTCTACATGATGGAGATAGGAAGCTGCTTTGCCACCACCAAATGCCGGAGGCTACTTCATCATCAGGACAGGCTGAAGGATTTCACCGTGGGGCAGGCAGCTTCCCTCTGTTCCAGCTGTGCCTGGATGGCATCTTGCTAGGGATCACTGGAACGAGTCCCACAAGGACTTCCTTGAGTCTTGTGGGGTCTCTGTCATCTCCTGGAGCCTCCCTCCCTCTCCTGTCCCCTTCTGGGACCTGCAGCCTCCCCTGCATGAAGTGGGTCTGCTTTGCTCCAGTGGTTTGCTGGGGAGATGGAAGAGGTTATTGTGCTGCTGGAGCTTCGTCCTGTGTCAGGAAGGGACCAGCACAAGCCCTGTTGCTCTAGGAAGGGCAAAAGGAGGGAGCAGGGTGCCCAGAGAAGCTGTGGCTGCCCCATCCCTGGCAGTGTTCAAGGCCAGGTTGGACACAGGGGCTTGGAGCAAGCTGCTCTAGTGGAAGGGGTCCCTGCCTGTGGCAGGGGTTGGAGCTGGAGGAGCTTTAAGGTCCCTTCAACCCAAACCAGGCTGGGATTCTCTGAGGTACTCTTAGTCTCATGCAGCTCTGCCTTGGTGTCACTGTGTGCTCCACTCCAGCAGCACAGGAGCAGGCTGCTGCTGCAGAGCCTACACACGCAGCAATGGCCTTCCCAGGAGCAACAGCACCGGTTATTCCCCCTCCCATTCCCATTCCCTTTGGGAGCTGTGAGGGCTGAGAGAAACCCTGAGCCAGGATGCTGGCTTCTCGCCCTGCCTGGCACCCACCTGGGATGCAGGTGAGAACTGGGACATCCCCGCGGAGCAGCGCTGCTCTGGACACCTCCCCAGCTGTGGGAGGAGGTGGATGCTCATCCCCTGTGGGTCCGGCCCTCACATCCCCATGTGTGCCAGGCCATGTCCCTGCCAGCTTCCTTTCCTCTCTGCCCTGGTTCTCCTCGGAGCTGGGAAGTGAAACTCCTTGGCAGCTAAAGTGGGACACGGCAGCTCCTTGCCTTGTTTACAAGGAGCCAAAGGAAACCAGGGAACGTCAGGCCTATCAGCTATTTTTGTGGCAGCCTTTGAAAAGCGTTTCCTTCAGATGGAGCATCATCCTCTGTCTTTTAAATGTGCTCATCAAAGCATTGGGGGCCGGGGGGGGAAAGTGGGGCTGGGGAGAGAACAACCGGCAGCGTGGGAGGGAGAGGGAGCTGGGGAGGGAGCAACAGGAAGGGTTGGGCTTCACCATGGAAGGTGGGAAGTGAAAGGTCCACCCGGCTGCTGGGGCCTGAGGAGCGGGCAGGGATGGAGAAGGACATTCACGGGAGCAGGGAAGGGAATAAAGAGGATTTATGGCATGCAGCACCGGGTGGCGAGTTAGCAGGATCATAGCTCTCCCTCCCAGCAGCAGGGAGATGTCCCCACGTCCCATGGGGTGAGGGGACACTGGTGGGGGTGGCACGGGTCACCCCCTGCTCCAGCTGCTGCAGGATGAACAGGGACATGAGGCATTTTAAACCTCTCCCTGCTCCTCTGGGATGGGATCTGAGCCCCTGGGGCAGCAGCACTTGTGTGCTGCAGTTATTGGGTTACCCTCCACACCCCGCCGGGCTTGGAGGCACCGATTGGGTTGCTTGTGTTGGTTTGATGTCCTTAAATCAAATGAGCCCTGCAGGCCGGGGTGAAACAGGGCTCAGAGGAAGCCCGGCGCAGGAATGCAGCGAGGGGGACTCTTTGCTTCCCTGGCTTTTGATTCATTGGAGCTCTGGCTGCTTAATTGCGCTCTCTGTCTCTGAATTTCCTTTGCTGCTGTGGCAGTGCGTTGTGGAGCCTCCCTCCCTCCTGCAGGAAGCAGATTATCATAATACTGCTTGTAAATCAATTTTTCCCCCCCTCTCTGCACTGACAAGAATGTAACTCGCTCTTAATCACTCTCCTCGCCTGCGGAACGCTGTGCTACGGGCATGGAGATGGGTTTCTCCTTGCCTGGCTGGGCAGAGGCTGCAGAGAGTTAGTGGAGGTGCTGGGTGCCACCTTAGGGAGAGGCTGGAGAAGGGCTGTGCTCTCCTTGCTTCCATGGCCCAGTGTGGAAGAGAACAGGGAAAACCCAGTTGCTCCTGCAGGAGGGAATGGGATTTCCCTGCAGAGCTCCTGCTTTCGCAGCCCAAAGGAGATGGGGAGTGAGATGGGCTCTGTGGGGGGGAATAGATGCGGCTGCCATGGGGCTCACTACCCCAAGGAGCTTCCCTTGGCTCTGCCCATCTTCCTGCAGTGTATCCACAGGGAGGGGATCCTGCCCCTCTGCTCTGGGGAGACCCCTCTGCAGTCCTGTGTCCAGCTCAGAGGTCATCAGTGCAGGAAAGACATGGACCTGTTGGAGAGGGTCCAGGGACACAGGTGTGGGCAGAGGGATGGAGCCCCTCTCCTGTGGGGAAAGGCTGAGAGAGCCGGGCTGGGTGAGCCTGGAGAAGAGAAGGCTCCTGAAGGGGAGACCTGAGAGCAGCTCCAGTGCCTGAAGGGGCTGCAGGAAAGAAGGGGAGAGACTTTTTAGCAGGGCCTTTTGACATAGGTCCAGGGGTGATGGGTTCGAACTGAAGGAGGGGAGGTGCAGGCTGGCTGAGGAAGAAATCCTTTACAATGAGGGTGCTGAGGCGCTGGCACAGGGTGCCCAGAGAGGTGGTGGCTGCCCCATCCCTGGCAGTGTTCAGGGCCAGGCTGGATGTGGTCCTGACCAGCCTGGTCTCGTTGAAGATGGCCCTGCTCCTCGCAGGGGTTGGACCACATGAGCTTTGAAGGTCCCTTCCAGCCCAAAGTGTGCCATGAGCCTGTGATCCCTCGGGTTGGTGGTGAGAGCTCCCCCAGGGAAGGGAAAGCAAGGAAAAGGGAGGGGGAGTTTTCCCTCCGGACACAGCAGAGCAGCGGTGCTGGAGGCAGCGTGCAGCCAAGAGCAGGCTTCGTTTCCTCTCTGCTCATTCCCGACTGCAGTCAGAGGTGAGGAGAGAGCAGCCCCATTCCCAGTGCCCGAGCTGCTGCTGGGTGCGGAGGGCAGAGCAGCCTGAAGCTGGGGTCCCCTTCCTCTGCCCAAGGCACCACCGAGGCTTCAGCCACAGCCCGGCTCCTGCTAAGGAGAAACATCCCAGCTGTGCCTGGCCCCACTTGTGTGGAGCTCTTCTGACACCCTCCAGGTTGCTGGGGGTCTGGCTCCTCTCTGGGGACTTGGGTGGACAGAAGAGCCAGCGCGGCACCAGTGGGGTGCACACGGTGCTCTTGGGAAGCTGCGCTCACCCCTCTCTGCAGGACCCCATCTCCTCACGACCCATCCCCGAGGAGCTGAGCTGCTCCTCCCGTGCCTCAGTTTCCCTGGAGAGCTGAAAACATCCGCACCCAGGAGCCCCTGAGGGGCACGGGTGCAGGCTCCTGGCGATGGAGCAGGGCTGCATCCCTGTGTCTCCACGTGCCTGTGCTGGATGCCCTCAGGGCTCTGCCTCCCCGGGCTTCCCCAGCAGCGCTTTCCAGGGCCATGGAAGCAGCAGGGGATTAACAGGGAGCTGTGGGTAGCTGAAGGCAGAGGCAGGCTCAGATCTTCCTTGTGAGCCTGAGGGCAGCATCTTCCCTCCGTGCCTCAGCAGTGGCTCCCTTCTTTTCCCTATCGGAGCACTGAGGTTGCTTGGGGGGGGGCATCTCCCCTCGCTGTGCTTTAATGGTGCAGCCCCGCGGGCTGGAGGAGTGGGGGAGCTTTGATTCCCCATCCAGCCTGCAGAGGGGATGGCCCCGTGTGGGCTCTCGGGAAGCTGGTGGTGAATGCTCCTCCTTGGGGTGTGCGTGGGGCCCGTGTCCCGTCTCAGCCAGCGCTGGCCTGGCAGATGCCGCCTGCGAAGGGCGTTCGGGCCCTGCAGACCCTGCCTCTGCAGTGGGGATTTTTCCAAGTGCCGTTAGAGCCGTGCAGGAGTTACCGAGGGGGAAGCAGGGAAGGGAGAGGAGGGAGGGGGGGGGAAGCTCTTGGCAGCTCCACCGCGGGGCTGAGCTCCCAGTAACGTGATCCGAGGATTCCTGCTTCAGCAGAACCGGCGTTCCCAACGGGAGCTTCGGCTGCTTCATCCCGCTCCCAGCCATGGGGATGCTCTTCCTGGCCGGGGGTCCCGCAGAGCCGTGGCCAGGGCCCTCTGGAGGGGAGCACGGGGAAGGTGTGAGCCCAGTGTGGTGCTGAGCTGGGTTGTGGTCAGCAGGCACACGTGGTGACCCCAGTGACAGCGGTGGGGTGGGCTGGGCTGGGTGGGAGCGCAGGACAGGGTGGGCTTGGCTGGCGCCGAGGCTGTGGGGCTGGAGGCAAGCACGGCTCTGCCTTTGGCTCCAGCTGATGGAGGCTGTTTCCATCGAACCCCAGCCTGGATGGGTTCAAGGGACCTTGGAGCTCACCCAGCTCCAACTCCAACACCTTCCACTGGAGCAGCTTGCTCCAAGCCCCTGTGTCCAACCTGGCCTTGAACACTGCCAGGGATGGGGCAGCCACAGCTTCTCTGGGCACCCTGTGCCAGCGCCTCAGCACCCTCACAGGGAAGAGCTTCTGCCTCAGAGCTCAGCTCAGTCTCCCCTCGGGCAGGTTAAAGCCATTCCCCTTGGCCTCCAGCTTTGTAGGACCCCCTCAGGACAAGGCAGGAAGGGCTGTGCTGGCCCCAGTCCCATGCCCAGGAGTGCTCCAGGCTCCCGTGTATCCCACAGCCACATTAATGGCGTTAACTGGGTCTGCAGCCCCTCAGCAGTCGGGGGGAAGGTGCCGTTGTCCCCTGTGCTTCTCCTTTGGGCTGTGCTTGAGGCTGCTGCCGGCTCGGCCAATGCCACATTCCCTGGTGTTTTCCAAGGGCAGGGATGGGGGGATAAAGGCAGCGGCTGGCTCCGTGTGCAGCCCGGTGCCAGGGGCTCATCCCGCTGCCCTTCACCCCCTCTGCTCTCTTGCAGCTCACCCTCCAGAGCACCAAGTCCCGCGTGGCCTTCTTCGAGGAGCTGTAGGGAGCGACCCGTGCTCCGCACCGCCGCTGCCACCGGCAATTCCCTTGGGATCGAGTGCCCAGCCGGGGCTGGGAGCCGGGCATCACCCCCGGGGCACACCGACGGACAGGGGGCCCGCTGCCCGCGGACTCTGCGATGCTCTCTGCCTTAGCATCCCTCCATCCATCCCCCTCTTCTGCCCTTTCTTTCCAGCCTTTTCCTTACTTTCCCAGTGTAGTCCTTTGGCTCGGAGACACACACACACACACACCCCCCGGCGTTCTCCCAGTGCTGGGGCTGGCACTATGGCCATGCCCTGCTGCCATCGTGCCCATGGGGATCCCATCCCTCCGGCTGCCTTCTCCCGGTGCCTGGAGCTCCATTAGGAACCCAGAGCATGTCCGAGTGGAGTGCTGTAAATCAGGGCTGGCGCAGGCGGAGCGGGGCCGCGGTCCATGGGGATGCTGCTTCCCTGGGGAGCGGAGGCAGTGGCAGGAAGAGGGATGAAGGTCTCCTCCTCATCCTCCTCCACCCTGCAAGGGGTTTGGAGCAGGAGAGCAGCCGGTGCCAACCACACAGAGCCTCCTTTGTTCTGCAGACTGGGACGGAGCCAGGGCTGCCTGCTCCTGCCTGCCCCTGCCTGTCCTCACACGGGTGCCTTTGCCCACAGCTCTGCCCTCCCGGCAGCAGCACAACGGGGATGCTCTGACCTTTCCTTCATGGCTCTATCCCAATCCCCCGGGGATTTACCCCAGTGCTGCCCCGGGACCCCAATTCCCCGCTCCCCAACCTCTCCTGACCTCCGGCTGCACCGGGATGGCCGGAGGGAACTCTTCCTTATTTAAAACCACACTGCTGGGGATGGAATTCCGGCTCGCGGCTGCGATCCGGATGGCTGCGGCCTGGCACCGGCCGCCTTCCCATTGCCCTGGATTCATCCTCGGAAGGAATAACCGTTTTCTCCTGGTTTTAATAAAGATCCAAAGCACTAAAGAGGGGCAGCGGGGACGTGTTTGGTCTTCCTTTCTTTGGGAAAAGCCTCGCGGAGCCCTTCACTGCCGCAGGGGGAGGATCCCTGGGGGATGCTCCCTGCTCCCAGCCCTCAGGGGTCCTCCTCTCCCCTTGGGGCTCCCCCATCCCTGCTTGTCCTTTTCCTCACCAGGATCCGGGGGCTGAGCCCCGCGTTTGCCATCCCTGGAGCTGCTTTCAGCCTGCCTGGAATGTGGAGCGCGTCCACTTTGTCCTCCAGGATTGAGCTATGGATAAAACCCCTTTGGGACCCCACTGACCCCCGCTCCGTGCCAAGCACCCCAAGAACGGGCACGACCCCACCTTGGGGGGCTGCTCCGGGCCCCCAGCCCCGCTCCAGGGGCTCGGTGATGGTTGATCCCTGCACCAGCAGCAGATCCATGGGAACGGGGAGGTTTGTGCGAGGGAAGGGCTCCTGCACACGGTGCTTGCACGGGGGGGTGAGGAAGGGAAGTGCACCCACATCGGGGTGCAGGGGGTGCTCGGGGCCGGGTCATGGGTGTTGGTGAGCCCTGGGCAGCTCTGCCTGGGATGCGATGGATGGAGAAGGCACTGGGAGTTGTGGTCGATGGCTCAAGGTCCAAGTGGGGACCGGTGGCGAGCGGTGCCCTCAGGGCTCGGTGCTGGGCTGCTCAGCGCCTTTGTCAGTGCCGGTGACACTAGGACTGAGCACCCACAGCACTGAGAGCAAGGGCTGAGAGTGCAGAGGAGGCCACGGAGCTGCTGCGAGGGCTGGAGCAGCTCTGCTCTGGAGCCAGGCTGAGAGAGCTGGGCTGGGTCAGCCTGGAGAAGAGAAGGCTCCTGAAGGGGAGACCTGAGAGCAGCTCCAGTGCCTGAAGGGGCTGCAGGAAAGCTGGAGAGGGGCTTGGGACAAGGGATGCAGGGACAGGCCAAGGGGAATGGCTTTAACCTGCCAGAGGGGAGACTGAGCTGAGCTCTGAGGCAGAAGCTCTTCCCTGTGAGGGTGCTGAGGCGCTGGCACAGGGTGCCCAGAGAAGCTGTGGCTGCCCCATCCATTTGAGGGATGCTGAGAACAGGCTCACTTCCATTTATCCCGTTTCTCCCAAGCAGAGCTCTCCCCTCCTCCCATGGAGGAGCCATTTTCCCCTTTGAGACCCCAAATGAAACGGAGCTCTCAAATCCTTCCCCTTTTCCGTTCCCTCCCCACCTGCTCCAGCTGCTGGAGCCTGCCCCGTCACGGGTGTGATTTGCCCCAGAAGGCACCATCCCAGTGCAGGGATGGCCACAGCTACACCAGATCCCAGCTCCTGGCACATCCCAGCAGGATCTGGCACTGAGATAACCCCTCTGCCCGCTCCATGCCTCCCTTCCATCCAGGTTCATTTAAGGCCCCTCTCACTGCTGCCCAGTGACAGCAGCAGCAGCAGCTCCGGGGATGGATGCTCCGGTGCCTCCGAGGGCTCGGGGCCAGCGGTGGCTGCAGGGTGACGCAGGGGCCACCCTGGCTGCTCCTGTCCCCTCAGCGTGAGCGGTGCCACATCCCGGTGTTATCCATGGGGTTGTCCTCAGGGATTTGAGGGCACCCAGCCCAGGTTTGCACCATCCCATCTATGCCAGGTTTCCCCACACACATCCTTGTCAGCTATCTCCATCCCATCCCCATGCCATCTCCAACCCTATCCCACCCCATTCCATCCCATCTCCATCCCCATCCCCATCTTCATTCCCATCCTCATCCCTTTTAGTTCCTGAGGGAGCTGAAGGTGTTGATGTTGGGTTATGAACCTGGACAAATGAGACACAAAATGCCGGGCCTGGATCATGCTTCTCCCTCCTCGTTCGTGGGATCCACTATTCCAGTGTCACCTGAGAGCATCGGGAATGTGCTGCCCTCATGGAAAGGATGGAGGGAGAGGTGGCAGGGACCTGCCCTGACTGAAATAAAGGGGGAATTGTGAGAGGAACAGCCAAGAGAATACCAGGAATCCTGGAGAGGAGCATTGGACACATCCCAGAGGCTGGAAACCTGCAAAGCCCCTGGCAGAGCCTGGGGTTTGAAGCTGAAATCCCTGGGATTTTGAGGCTGCGGCTGCCTCCAGCCGGCATCCAGGTCTGAGGAAACCAATCCCGAGCTTCTCCCTTCCAAACAAGTGAGGGGACCGGCAAAGGGGCTGCGGTTGCACCGGGGGAAGGTCCCAGCCTTCATCCCATGAGGAAGAGAACGGCGGGGCAGGGCGGGATGGGGGTGCCTGGCTCGGCTCAGTTTAAACACAGCGGGGGCTCCACGTTGGTCCCACAGAGACCCCGATCGCGGCTCCAAGTGCGATCAAGCCGTTAATTCCCGTTCTTCCCCCCCATGCCGGTGCCTGCTTTGCTTCCATCCCCCGGGAAGAAGCAGCCGGAGCCGGGATGGGGCGGCTGCATCCCCCCTCCGCAGGGAAGGGTGCCCCGACGGGTCCCGGTGGCAGCGGAGCGGAGCGAGCTCCTGAAGGGATTCGTGGGGAAGAGCCCGGGAATGCGGCGTTGTTCCTGCCGGGATGTGCGTGGGGAGGAATAAATGAGCTTCCCCCGGGGCCTCCGGTGGGCAAAGGGAGAATTAATTGGGAGGCAACTTCGTTAACCCCGGGGAGCGGCCGGGGAAGGAGCAGACTTCCAATGAGGCTGCTCTGCCTCGGTGGGCACCGCTTCGCGTTACCGGCGCCCTCCCGCTCCGTGCGGCGGGCTCAGCCGCGCTATCAGACACCGGAGACTCCCCGCGGGGCGCAGGGGGATGAGCCCCAAACCCGAGCCCTGGGGAGGATGGAGCTGGACCAAGGCACCCCCGAGCCCTGCATCCCCCGTGCCCCCGGCCCCGAGCGGTGCCATCCCGCAGGAAGCGTCCCTGGAGCCCGCAGCACCGGGATTGGATCAGTTCTGGAATCCCAGCGCGGCAGCGGCGCTTTTCCTCCGCCTCCAGGGCCCCCCCGCGGGTTCATCCCAACGGGCGCCGAAGGGCCATGGGGTTTGGGGAGCTCCGGTGTTGAGCTGCGGCCGATGCTCCCGTCGGGAATGGGGGAGATTCCCTCGGGGAATGGGGGAGCCGCTCGCCCACAAACCCCGGCAGCTCTGAGCTGGATGCGGGAAGGGCTGCGGGGCTGCTGCGGGATGCTCTGTGTGTGTGTGTGTGTGTGTGTGTGTGTGTGTGTGCGTGTTGCACTGGAGGGGTTGGAGGAGCAGGAAAACCCCATCCCGAAATTCCTGTGCAGTCCCACTCCGAGGAGCACACCTGGAGCCCGTCCGGCTCTGCCTCAGTTTCCCTCCTGCTCCTGAGCATCCTTGGTGCCTGATGAGCAGCGGGGAGGTTGCAAGCATCCCCCTTTTCTCTTCCCCACCCCATTACTGCTCAGGGGACATCGTCCTCTTGTCTCGGCCCCTTCCCTCCCACTACAGCCCCTCCAAAGGCCGTTTCCATTGGGGAACGGGGGCTTTGGCCGCTGGAGAGAGAGATGCCACCCGGGCACGGGGGACACCGGGACAGACCCGTCCCAGCGGGCCAGGGCCTTTGGAGCTACCCAAGGCAGACAGGTCCTGCCAGGCTGCCAGAGACACCCTGGAGAGGGGAGCTCCCCGGTGCTGGCAGCATCCCTGGCTGGGTACAGGAGCGCAGATGAGGTGCACAGGGACATGGGTGCCATGGGGAGGATGTATGGGGGGGGGAATCTGGGATTAATCAGAGACAAAGAGAGAAATGGGGTGAAAAATGTGATCAAGGCTTGAGGGGAAGCGGGGGACAATGGGAATGGGGATGGGGGGGGCTTCACTCCAGGCCTGGCTGCGTGCCTCTTTCCAGCTCCTTTTTGCCCTGGTGCAGGAGCAGGGGGTCCGGCCGCAGGGTCCCTGTCACCCCCCTCAGCCGGGGGACCTTGGGGTGCCACGTGCGGGGACTTTGGGGTGACGATGTCCGAGTGCTGCATGTGGGGACCTCAGGGTGATGGGGGGCAATGTGCCCGGTGCCACGTGCGGGGAGCCGGGGGCAGCAGGGACCCCACGGCCCCTGTCCCTGTGCCCCACCAGCACCCCGAGCGCTCAGCCCGGCACCGCGGGGGCAGGATCCCACCGGGGACACCCGCTTTGGCCCCCCCGGGGGGGGGGGGGAGGTGCCACCCCCGCCCCTTCCCCCCCCCCCCCCCCTCCCCCCAGCCCCATTTGCCGGGCGGGACCGTTCAAAACCCGCCCGTTCCCGCCGCTTCCCCCCCGGATTCCGCCGCCGCTTCCCCGGTGCCGCGGCCGAGGATGCTCCGGGGGCCGGGGCTGGCGGCGGGGGCGCAGCGTGTGCGCGGCGGCGGGGGCTGAGCGGCGGCGGGAGCCCGGCCCCGGCCCTGCCGGGACACCTGGGGGGAGGCAGAAGAGGAGGAGGAGGAGGAGGAGGAGGAGGAAGAGGCCGCTCTCGGCCGCGGCCCCGCCATGCCGGGGCCCGCCGGGGAGCGTGGCCCGGCGGCAGCGGCCCCCCGGGGGCTGTGAGCGGGCCCGGGGCTGGCGGGGGGGGAGGGTACCGGAGCGGCATGGCCAGAGCCGTCCCCCCCCCCGCCACCGCCGCCGCCGCCGCCGGGATTTAACCGGTGCTTGGATGCTCTCGCCTCCCGCTTCCACTTCGGGCGCGATGTGCTCCGGGCCGCCGCCAGCCTGCTCCGGAGCGGGGTCCCCCCGCGCCCTCACACCCCGGTGAGGGGCTGAGCCCGCAGCCCCGTCCCGACACCGGCCCCGGAGGACGGGGAGCACCCGCTCGCCCTGGCCCCCCCTGGCCGGTGGGTGCCGGGCGAGGGGCAGCGGGGACCGGTAACTTGTTCTTAGCGTTCCGAGGTACCGGCTTGGGGGGGGACCCCCCCGTCCCTGTCGTGTCCCCCCCCCCCCACCGCCCCGCGAGGAGATTTGGGTTTAAACTTTGGCTTTTTGGGTAGCCCCGAAGATGCCGTTCCACCCGGTGACGGCGGCTTTGATGTACCGGGGGATCTACACCGTCCCCAACATCCTCTCCGAGCAGCGCCCCGTGGAGATCCCCGAGGACGAGCTGGAGGGTGAGCGGGGCCGGGGGGGAGACCGGGGCGGGGGGGGGGGGACACCGCACGGTTGTGCGGGGCTTTGGGGTGCGCGGTCCCCCAGCCCAGGCGCCGTGGGGAGAGCTGGAGGCGAGCGGGATGCGGATGGATGCATGGATGGATTGATGGATGCATGGATGGATGGGGAGGAGGAGGAGGGGAGGAAGGGAAGCGTGGGGCAGCGGGAGAGGGTGACGGGGCTGCGGGGGTCCCGGTGCCGCCGCTGTGTCAATATGACACAGCAGGGACCGGCGGTGGCGGCGCGGGCCGGACCCCCAGCCGGCCGGGGCCACCCTCCCGCTGTCATAATATGACAGAGGCTGGCGGCGCGGGGGGGCTGTCCCTGTCACCCGTGTCACCCCCTCCCCGGGTCGCGGTGCCCCCGGGCTCTGCCCACCCCTGCCACGAGCGGGGCCGGGCTCAGCCGGAATTGGCTTTTTCCAGCCCAAAAGTTTGCTGGGGCCTCGGGACAGGCGCTACCGGTACCCCCAGGCTCGGAGCGGGGACGGGGGGGGGTCCCCGGGAGCCCCGTTCTGGCGGGTGCGGGAGGAAAGGGGCTGCAGCAGCCCCGGACCCACCGGGGAACCTGAGGCACGGGGTGACCGCGGCTCTGGGGGGGGGGGGGGCTGGAGCATCCCCTGGGCACCCCCGTGGGGAAACTGAGGCACGGAGCCCCCGGGCTAGTGGGGGTGTTTGAAGGGCTCCTCTGGGCCCAAAGGTGTGCAAGGACACGTGTGTGCGTGCACAGCTCTGCAGGCTGTGAGTGTGCACTGACGTGTCCCCGGTCACAGCCCCGCTGCAGGGCGCCTGTGTGTCTGTCTCTGTGTGTATAGGCGCGGGCAGCATCACTGCAGCGTGTGTGTGTGCACAAGTACAGCGTCACTGCAAGGGCTGTGCGTGTGTGCATGCAGTGCAAGGGCTCTGTGCACATGGGCAAGCACCACTGCAGCGTGTGCGCACGCACAAGTACAGCGTGACTGCAAGGTGGTTGTGTGCGTGCATGGGCATGCACGAGTACGTCGCTGGAAGGTGCTGGGATGTGTGCACACGAGTACAGCATCACTGCATGGTGCCTGTGTGTGTACCTGTGTATGTGCAGATACAAGTACAGCATCGCTGCAAGGGGATGTGTGTGCATGTGTGTGTGCAAGTACAACATCACTGCAATGGGGTTGTGTGTGTGCGTGTGCAAGTACAATGTCACTGCAATGGGGTTGTGTGTGCATGCGTGTGTGCAAGTACAACATCACTGCAATGGGGTTGTGTGTGTGTGTGTGCAAGTACAACGTCACTGCAATGGGGTTGTGTGTGTGTGTGTGCAAGTACAACATCACTGCAATGGGGTTGTGTGTGTGTGTGTGCAAGTACAACATCACTGCAATGGGGTTGTGTGTGTGTGTGTGCAAGTACAACGTCACTGCAATGGGGTTGTGTGTGTGTGTGTGCAAGTACAACGTCACTGCAATGGGGTTGTGTGTGTATGCGCGCAAGTACAACGTCACTGCAATGAGGTTGTGTGTGTGCAAGTACATCACTGCAATGGGGTTGTGTGTGTGTGTGTGCAAGTACAACATCACTGCAATGGGGTTGTGTGTGTGCGTGTGCAAGTACAACATCACTGCAATGGGGTTGTGTGTGTGCGTGTGTGTGCAAGTACAACATCACTGCAATGGGGTTGTGTGTGTGTGTGTGCAAGTACAACATCACTGCAATGGGGTGTGTGTGTGTGTGTGTGCAAGTACAACATCACTGCAATGGGGTGTGTGTGCATGTGTGTGCAAGTACAACATCACTGCAATGGGGTTGTGTGTGTGTGTGCAAGTACAACGTCACTGCAATGGTGTTGTGTGTGTGTGTGCAAGTACAACATCACTGCAATGGGGTTGTGTGTGTGCGTGTGTGTGCAAGTACAACATCACTGCAATGGGGTTGTGCATGTGTGTGTGTGCAAGTACAACATCACTGCAATGGGTTGTGTGCGTGTGTGTGCAAGTACAACATCACTGCAATGGGGTTGTGTGTGTGCGTGTGTGTGCAAGTACAACATCACTGCAATATGGTTGTGTGCGTGTGTGTGCGCTCACAAGTGCAGCATCCCTGCAGGGTGATCCCTGTTTGTGTGTGCACAGCCCCTCTGCAGTGCACGCGTGTGTATGTGCGCACTCACACACACGTGTGCACAGGCACGGGGTGTCGGGTGCTGCACCCAGCCTCGTGCAGCACCTTCGGGTACCGCCGGGCCTCGGGATGCTCCCAACACCCCGGCTGCATCCATGTGCTCCGGGGATCAATGGCAGCAGCGGGAGCCCCAAGGTGACCCCGAGGCACCCGTGGTCTCCCCGTCACCTCCTCCGCCTCCAGGGGACGTTTGTGACCCCCAGGAGCAGGGTGCAGGCTGCAGGGGACACACACTCTGTTTGGCCACTGCCGGGTCATGTCCTTGCCTTTCCCCGGCACCCCGGGCTGGGAGGCAGGAACCAGCTCCAGGTGGGATGAGCATCCCTGAAGGGTGAGTTTCGGGGGTGCCTGGACCACAGCAGTGCCAGACCGCAGCGAGCACGGGGGGACCAGAAGCATCCCTTGCCCACACGGGGATGCTGGCCCTGGAGAAGCTCAGCCACGGGGCCAAGAGGCCCCAAACCCCTCTGCAGACGCCGCCGATGGGCAGCGACGTCCCCCAGGATGGGCAGCGCAGCCCCGTGCGGGTTTTCTCCCCACAACCGAAGTTCTCAGCCCTGTTTCAGCCCCGCACGAAGCCCTCGGCAGTCGGCAGGGACCGGCTCGTCCGCGCAGCCCGGCGCAGCAGCTTTGCTCTCTGGTGAAGGAGCAAGGCGCTGATGTCCCGGCCCTGCTTCCTGCTGTTCCCGATGCAAATCCCCCCCTTTCCCACCGGCTGGGCTCAAGCTCCATGTCCTGGGGGGCATCACAAAGCCAGAAACTGCCCCAAGAAGGAGCAAAGCCCCGAGTGCAGCAGGGGCAGGATGGAGCCGATGGGCACCGTGAGGCTTTGGCCCAATGCCCCCAGAGCCCGGGCACCCCACAGGGATCTTCCACACACCTCAGGGTTCATTTTGAGCCAGAAGCCCCAAATCCTCTCACTTTCTCCCCTTCATCCCCCATTCACGGGCTGAATCCCAAAGACCGGGTTGGGGTTTTCCTGGCTGAAGCTCTGGTACCCATCACATAACCTGGGATGGGTGCGAAGTGCCCCAGGGAAGGTGGGTGCTGCACACCCAGCACCCGGGCACAAGGATGCTCCAGGCTGGGTCCTGCAGCAGCTTTCGGGGTGCCCCCAGCTCAGGCATGTCCCAGGAAGGTGGTTTTGGGGCAGGATGCTGGGATTTTGGCTGTGGAGAGCTGGGTGGTGGCAAGGGCAGGGTGGGTGGGTGCTGCAGCAAAGACTTTGGGGGCCCCTTGGTGTCCGCCTGGGGAGATCAGACCCTTCTTGGGGTGGTTTCTGGGGCCACAATGAATGTGTATGTGTGTGTGTGTATGTGTATGTGTGTGTGTGTGTGTGTGCATGTGTATGTGTGTGTGTGTATGTGCATGTCTATGTGTATGTGTGTGTGCATGTGCACAGTTACCCTTGCTGCCTCCCACACCCCTCCTGGTACCAGCGCATCCATCACCCACTGACACCCATCACACCCCAGAGCGATGCTTGGGGGGGGATCTGGTCCCTGCAGGTGTTGTAGCCCCTCCGGCTGTGCCTCAGTTTCCCCTCTGCAATGGGGACCCCACTGCAGCTGCAGGGATGGGTGGTTTGGGGCCACCAGCACTGCCCATAGGGGGTCTGTGGGACCGGGGTGATGGGGGCGGCCGGACCCATCCCTGCTCCCTCCGCAGAGATCCGTGAAGCCTTCAAGGTGTTCGACCGGGATGGCAACGGCTTCATCTCCAAGCAGGAGCTGGGCACGGCCATGCGCTCCCTGGGGTACATGCCCAACGAGGTGGAGCTGGAAGTCATCATCCAGCGCCTCGACATGGACGGTAGGACCCTGGGATGGGGACAGGAATGGGACCCCCCAATCCCCCTTGGTGAAACTCCCCATTTGCCCCGCTTCCACCCCACTGGCTGGCGGCGGCTGGACCAGACGCTGTGGGATGCAGGAGGACCTGATTCATCCATCGGCATCATCACCACTGCAGCTTCGCTTAGGCTTTAACCATCCCGGAGTGGGAGCAGCACCGCTCCCAGCTCCACAGACCCGCTGGGACCGGGCTGCTGGGGCTGGATCCTGCAGCCGGGGCTGGATCCTTCAGCTTAGCTTGGATGCTGCGCCCCGGCCGTGCCCTCAGCACGGGGCTGCCCGTGCTCCTCCAGCGCTCGCTGCCACCATCGGCCTCTCCGCGTCGCTCCCGGCTCATTGAGACCTTAAAGAGCCCGTTAATTTATTGGCCTCCCCCTCCTCATTTAAAAGCCTTTCCGGCAGCGCTGCCAAGCTGCTGCTCCCGTCATTACTCATCGTTAGCGCTGCTCCGGCAGCCCCGACACCCGCATCCTCCGCAGCGCAGGACACAGCACCCGGCCCCTTCCCACCCCGCCGGGGTCGCGGCCACCGCGGGGGTCCCCGCTGGCGCTGGGGGGGGTCTCTGCTTGGTTTTGGGGGTCCTCAGCCAGCACTGCGGGTCTGCACATACAGCACTGGGGTCTCTCCGTGGCGTTAGGGTCCTGGCTGGCACGGGGGACCCCAGCTCAGCGCTGGGCATCCTGGCCAATGCTGGGGGACCCCAAACCTTGCTGAAGGACCCCAAACCATCTGGTGTTGGGGGGTCCTGACCAGCCGCGGTACCGGGTGCCCAGCCGGTCCGGCTGCACAGGGGCAGCCGAGCACCCCCAGGCAGGGTTCCCCTGGGCTCACCCCGTGCCCCCCCCGGCCCCGTGCCCGCAGGTGATGGGCAGGTGGACTTCGAGGAGTTCGTGACGCTGCTGGGGCCCAAGCTGTCCACGTCCGGCATCCCCGAGAAGTTCCACGGCACCGACTTCGACACCGTGTTCTGGAAGGTGGGAACCCCCCCCCGGGAGCAGCGCGGGGGCTCGAGGTGGGGGCAGAGCTGGAACTGGGGTAAAAAGTGAAGGTTTGGGTCAGGGTCAGACTTGGGTTAAGGGCTGGGGTCAGGGCTCGGCTCAGTTTAGGGTTAGGGTGAGGGCCGAGCTCAGCCCCAGGCTCCATGTCAGGCTCAGTGGAAGCTTTCGGGGTCAGGTTCCATCACCCTGAGGCTTTTCTGTCCCTGCCACACTCGGGGCTGCGGGTGCTGCGAGCACCCCGTTACCGTGCACAGGGGCACCCATCCCAAGCGCAGCACCCAAGGGCGCTGCCGCAGCCCTGCCGTGGGGTGAGCCCCCCGCCTGCCCCCCCTGCAGTGCGACATGCAGAAGCTGACGGTGGACGAGCTGAAGCGGCTCCTGTACGAGACCTTCTGCGAGCACCTCTCCATGAAGGACATCGAGAACATCATCATGACGGAGGAGGAGAGCCACATGGGCACGGCCGAGGAGTGCCCGGTCGATGTGGAGAGTGAGTGCCCGCGGTACCAAACCCCCCCCCCCCCCCCCCTCGGCCCCGGTACCATGGGGGGGTGCTGGGGTAACCCCTGCTCCCCCCTGCCAGCCTGCTCCAGCCAGCAGATCCGCCAGACCTGCGTGCGCAAGAGCCTCATCTGCGCCTTCGCCATCGCCTTCATCATCAGCGTGATGCTCATCGCCGCCAACCAGGTGCTGCGCAGCGGCATGAAGTAACGGGAGCCTCACCTCCGGAGCAAAATCCCTATGGAATCAGACATGAACACACACACCCCCCACCCCCCGGGATGGGGGCAAGGCCGAGGGGGAAGCCCCGCACGGGGTCCCCGGGGCGATGCGATCGCATGGCTGCAGAACATGGAACCTTGGTACTGACACAAACCCACACACACAGACCCCAACCAAGCATGTACCGTGCATGGAGCCCCGTGTGCTGCCCCCTCCCTGGGCGGAGGATCCCGTCGGATGCACCGATGCTCTCGTCTATAGCTCTATATTTATGATCAAAACCAAAACCATCCCCTAAGCAATACATGCGCCTCAGATGGTCCCTAGGGATGGGAACGTTTGCATGGACTTTGGCTGCCAAGGGCTGGAATTCCCACCCCGTCCCCTGTCCCGGCCCGGTGCCGTGCCTCAGTTTCCCCACCCGCCAGACTGGGGGGACTCCGGTGACCTCCTGCTTGATGCACTTTAGGCCGAATTCCCTTGGGAAGAGCCAGAGCGACCCCGAGGCTGGGAGCCCGCAATGGCCGGGGTCACCCACCCTGCACCCCCAGGGCCCCCCCCAGCCTGTATGTAGCACCCCTGGGCACGGGCCTGGCTGGGATCTGGGGCTGTTCCCCCTGTTCGGGGTTGTTTTTTGGGGGGTTTTGGTTTCTTTCTTTCGTCCTGGGTTCGGATCGGAAATAAACGTGGGATTTCTGAAGCGCTCTGGGCTGCTGCGGCTCCTGGCGATGCGATGGGGCAGGGCGATGGGTGCCGGTGCTGGGAGGGCACCCATGGGTGCTGCTGAGCTGGGAGGTGGCAATGGGGAGGGGGGGTCCGGGGCTCTCCAGCAGCCTCAAACCTGGGGTTCCTTCCTGGCTGCTCCCATGTCCCCCATCCCTGGCCGGATGTGGGTCCTGCTGTGGGTCATTGGGAGCTCTGAGTGGATTTATTCCCCTCTCCCCATCTCCATGCCCTGATATTCCATGTCGGCATTTGTGGAATGGTTTAAGGCCATTCCCCTTACAAAGGGCCTCCATGGGGAGCGTTTTCACCCAGACTAACGGCAGATCCGGGGGGAGCAGGATCCAGCCTGTGGCTGGAGGCTCCAAGGTGTCAGATGGGGATCCTGGCACGGGGAGGGGGAGCACCCCATGGCTCCTGGGTGGGCTCTGGTCCCATGCTGGCACAAAGCCCGTGGCAATGGAGCTGCCCCGTTCATGGATCCCATCCCGGGGGATGCGTTTTTAATGGCAGATAGACTCAACCAATGAATACAATGAGGGGGAAGCTCGCGGTGCCAGGAGAGCATCCAGCAAAGGTGCTGCCCCCTCCACGGGGTCCCCTCTCCGTGAGGAATGAGGCTGGAGGAGCCCATCCCCGGGGCATCAGGGCTGGGGCACATCCCCCCGGGAGCCCTGTTTGACCCCTATCCAAGGGGAAAACACATTTCCTCGTGCCTGCATGGGATCTCCCACCCTTGGGATGCGCCTCCCTGGCAGCAAGGAGGGGGGGACACCCCGTGTTTGGGATGCCGGGAGGAATGGGCTGCGTTCCATTGATCCGGGGCTGGGTTTGCTCTTGATCCGTGTAATTTATCAAACAAATTGAAGTGAGCGTCCAAGTGAGGAATGGGAATGGGAAGTGCAGCGCGGCAATGGAATCACTGCGGCGGCCTCGCGGGGGAAGGGGGTGACCCGCACCTGGAATGGGGCTTTATCCATCTCCATAGGCAAAGTGTTGGGGGTTTATGGGGTGGTATTCCCAAAGGAAGAGGCCTTGAGATGTGTTTCTGGGGGTATATATATATATATATATATATATATATACACATGTATTTAACCAGGTTTGTCATAGGTGCAGGGAATAAACACAAAGGGGGCACAAAGGGAAAGAGGACAACTGAATTGCTGGGAAATGCAATCACATAAAAACGGATCAAAGGAACAACGTGATTCCAGAGCTCCGTTTCCAAAGCTGCTCAGTTTCAATAGGAACTGGGAGCAGGGAATTCTGGCAGGGTTGGAGATGGCAGATCCCGATGCAGGAGCACGGGGAGGTCCCTGCCCCGCTGTCCCTCGCACGGCTCTGCCATGGCTGGGGATGGATCATTGGGGCTGCTCCTCCCTAAGGGAGGTAAAGGATCGCTGGGAATGGGAATAGAGAGTCTCTTGCAATGTGATTGCTGTGCTGGGATGAGGGAAGGCGCTGTGGGAGGTGGGAAGTGGGAGAAGGACCCTGTGTGGGGCAGGGGGAACCAGGCAGCAAATGCAGGGATGGGGGGTTGCAGGGATGGGGTTGGCACCGCGCCGGGGTTTGGGATGGGAAGGGAGGAAGATGGAAAAGGTGCTCTCTCTCTCTGGTGTTGCAAGTGGTGTGGGATGGTCTCTGCTCCATCCCTGCCCCGTCCCCATCCCTGTGCCCATCTCCATTCCTGTCTCCATTCCCATCCTTACTCCCATCCCTGTCCTTACGTGTGTCCCTGCCCTGTCCCCTTCCCAGTTCCCATTTCCATCCCCCTTCCCATCCCGTCCCCATCCCTGTCTCCCTTCATCCCGTCCCCATTCCCATCCCCAGCCCTGTTCCCCAAGAGCTGCCAGAGGACGCGGGCAGCGCCCGGTGAGGCTGCGCCTTGGCAGGGGCCCAGGAGCTGCTCATTTCCCTAAAAGCTTCCCGATAAATTACCCAGGCTCTGGCTCTATAAAGGGCACTTTGGGCTGGGGCCGGCTCCCCACCGCCCACCCCGGCCGCCGGGACCTGCGGGGATGCAGAGCACGTCCATCCCTGCAGCATCCTTTGGGAGCCGGGTACCAGCTGCTCCCGGCGCCGTGCGGGAGCACGGAGGGAGCCGAGCGCCTTGTCCTGCTCCTGCGGTACCCTCCCGGCTCTCTGCAAAGGGCCTGCTCTCCCGGCTGAGCCCGCCCCGGCTGCATCCCGCGCCGGCGGTGATACACACCGTCATTACGGCTGCTGACACCACGCCGTAAAATACATCCCATAAAACCCGGGATTTACGGGCTCCTCAAGTACCTGGGAGTTACGCGGCTCCCGGAGCACAAAACACCCCTGCGAGAGACGTGAGGCTCGGCCCCGGTGCCTGGAGCTCAAGGAAGCTGTTACAGGAACCCCAAAGGCCATTCCCCCCCTTGGCCGGCCCCCTCAGCCCGGGGCTTGGCAGGGGATGCTCCACATGCAGCTGGATCCGGAGGCTCCGCATCACTGTGGGTTCCACCCGAGGTTGGGGCTTGCAGCTCGCCCAGGTGCTCCCGCCTGCTCCTCCGGACGTGGGCTCCTCTCCCACGTCCAAGCTGGATTTGGGAGCAGCTTTGGAGCTGTGAGTGCTGGGTGAAGCAGCACCTCCCCGAGCAGCCGCGCCTCCTGGGGTGCTCCAACCACCCTGGGAGCGCAGCGCATGGAGCACGGCTGCGGGGTGATGGTCTCCAAGCGCAGGCGAAGGACTGGGAGGCGTTCTGAGGCCGGCACAGCAGCACACGCTTTGCCATCTCCCGGCCCTGGGAGATGGGGGAATGTCGGCTTCGCCTCCATCCTTCGGGATGCGCCGTGACTCAGAGTGGCAGCGGAGCCGTTTGTCACCCCCGGCAGGCAGGGAGCAGTGGGTGATGGGCTGAGCCCCCCGGGGCTCTCCCCTGCACTGCGACGCACATCAAGGCAGGAGAGAGCAGCCGAAGCTGCTCCTGATGGCTGGGAGCAGAGCCAGCAGCTCCCAATGCTCCGGAGCATCCTGCAGCCCCTATGGGGTTTCTTCCCTCCACCACAACCCCTGCACCCAGGGCACGGTCCCCTTCCTCTGGGGACTCCCGTTTTACGCCCAAATAGGTGCACATGGGTGCTCAGTTACCAGCTCTTGTCACGGAGGTGAGGATGGGGCACGGGGCTGACGCTGCATCCTCCGAGCCCAAGCTCTGCTCTCCAAAGGGAAGCAAGCACAGAGCGGCCCCAGTCACACGTGCAGGGATTAAACCACCCTTAAGCTCGGCTGAAAGCTCCAGCAGCGCCGGTGAAGGCTGGACCCCTGCTGCAGCACTGCTCACAGCTCCACGCCAGCCATGCCAGGGTCACCTCCCTGTTGGAGCGGCACGGGATGGATCCCAGGGAGCATCTCCGCGCACAGCCCCTGCTGGGAGCCCTGCCCCGAGCCCGGCAGCCGGGTACCAGCGGGATCCAGGCGGGATGTGGCCAAGGGCAGCTGGCTCCTGCCTCTGCTCTTCATGAATCTGGAGCTGGCGCCTCCGGGCACGGCCAAACCTGGAATGCTCTGGCAGCGGGAGCAGAGCTGCTCCCCAGGGAGGCTGCTGCCAGCATCCCCACAGCTCTGCACGAAGCCAGAGCAGGCTCCGGAGACAGCGCAGCCCAGGGCCTCCTTCAGCCTCCCCTTTCCCAGGGAGGAGAGATCACAGAACCCCAGCCTGGTTTGGGTTGGAAGGGACCTTCAAGCTCCTCCAGCTCCAACCCCTGCCACGGGCAGGGACCCCTTCCACTAGAGCAGCTTGCTCCAAGCCCCTGTGTCCAACCTGGCCTTGAACACTGCCAGGGATGGGGCAGCCACAGCTTCTCTGGGCACCCTGTGCCAGCGCCTCAGCACCCTCACAGGGAAGAGCTTCTGCCTCAGAGCTCAGCTCAGTCTCCCCTCGGGCAGGTTAAAGCCATTCCCCTTGGCCTGTCCCTACATCCCTTGTCCCAAGCCCCTCTCCAGCTTTCCTGCAGCCCCTTTAGGCACTGGAGCTGCTCTCAGGTCTCCCCTTCAGGAGCCTTCTCTTCTCCAGGCTGACCCAGCCCAGCTCTCTCAGCCTGGCTCCAGAGCAGAGCTGCTCCAACCCTCACAGTAGCTCCATGCCCTCCTCTTTACATCTTCACAGAGGACTCTGCAAAGCTCCCACTGCAGCAGCCACATGGCCGGGCTCAGCCTGGCTCTGGCTGGGCTTGGTCAATCCAAACCTGCCCCTAAAAGCACCCTAAAAGCACCCTCCCCAGGGCAGCCTGTCCCCTGCCTGTCCTCAGCTCCCAGTGCAGCCCCACAGCAAGCAGGGGGCTGTGGTCCCTCCTCACCCCTTCCCAGCTCCCACAGTGGGGAGTGACCCATGGGGGTATTTTCCCTGTGGACGCTCACAGTTCACTCAGTTTCCTGGAGAAGGAGAAACCTTGAGGCTTTTCTTCCTTCTTGCTTTTTACCTTCAGCATCGCAGGAGTGGGAGCAGAGGGCTTTTGGGAGCTCCCTAAGCTCTTCATTAGGAGCTCCAGCACCTGAACCAAAGCAGTTTTACACACTGAACTCCACAGCAGCAAACCCAGGTCATAAACACTGCAGGAAACATTAAACATCGCTTTAAAAAGCCTGGTTACAGCTTCCTTCCTGGCCTGGATCAGCCCTGGAGCAGTGCAGGACGCAGCGCAGACAGCAGCGCTCTGAGGGGGCACATCCTGCCCTGGCAAACATGGAATGTCCACTCTGAGCACGGCAGAGAGCCCCTGGCACAGGGCTGCAGCTCTGCTGAGCACAGCCCCTGGTGCCAGTGACAGGGAGACAACCCTGGGGGCTGCAGGTGAGCAATGACACACCACACCACACACAGGCTGCAACGGGGGGGGGGTTTATTGATGGAAAAGTGTATATCAATAATGCCAGCCTTTCCCAGGGCAGGTGAGGAGGAAGGATTCCATCTCCAGCACATCCTCTGTGGGGTCCCTGCGCCTCAGCCCCAC